TGTTTAATTTTGACAAATGTTATCGTAACTGTTAATAGCAGTATGAAAGAAACTAGAGATGTGTGCAGTAGCGAGCTATCCTTTTGCCAAAATGTATATGAAGTAACATTCATCCTGAAAACTAATTGTAACATTGAGTCTCGTTATTAGACTTCCAGGCATTCCAAAAGCCTCTCCAATGGAAATATTACCCTCGAAACAGCACCTGAAGAGTCTGGAGAGAGACATTATTTTAGGGAAAATCTCTGAGAACGAAAGCCATCTCCCTTGAAACTCCCTCTGAACCCTTAAAGTTTGTAAAGGTTATTAAATTGACAGTCTAAATCTAAAGGGTAAGGAGATGGATGTAACTTAAGCTCACTACATGACATTCAACCAAGGGTAGTGGTATCACAGTGCTTATTAAGTGTACTACAAGTATAGCCTACATAATGTAAAGAATTCAACTTAAACTGGACTCACTGTGTTCAGATATTTATCAACTTTAATCAGAATTTCTTGAAGTCGGACTAACACACCTACTGTAGATAAGCAAGAGGTTGGTTGATTTACTCGTGCATGTAAACACCTCAATCGGACCCAAACTGGCCTAAGCTTTCTGCGCAAGCTGCACAACCCCTGAGCCGTGCTTTGACCCCACGTTAAACAGCATAAATTAGTAGAATACAGCCGAGAAAATAATGAAGGTATCAACATGGCGAGTGCTAAAGCGAGAACAACGTATTCTTGGACAGAGGAGAGGACAGTTGTTAGTTCATGGATGGAGGAAAACAAAGTCATGTTTGTCTTATGTGACGTTATAGTTAAACCCCAAGGAAGGTTCATTGGTGACTAGCTGAAAGGGGGCATATCGCCACCTACCATAAACATATTTCATTCAAATCATTGATTCTAGCCCAATGCTTGGTACATTCCCCTCGACTGACAAATACAGCATAATGTTACGGACAGCAATTTATTTCTATGTATACACTTAACGCATTCATTTAGCTGGGAATCTTTATTGCTCGCAGTCATGTGTAGAATTAATGAAAGGAAATTTCTCCACATTCCAATGAAGTCCACCACTCTGAACAGAACCTCCTCTGGACCAAGTCAGGTGTGCAGAATAAGTTTCTGTGATGTGACCCTGAAAATTCTGGCTTCGGCTCAGCATTTCCTACTTACACATTTATCTTGCTTCATAATACACCCATCTGCTCTGTCCTCTGGGTTTAGATCTGACATACTGGTTGGAGATGAAGAAGAGCAAGCAAAAGACAGAAGCCGCATAACAACAGTGAGATCTGTCCTCCCAAATGAGTCAAGACTCACGAAGATCTATTATGTGGGTCATTGTGACATTTTTGGGTACCAAGCTTTAAGGAAGCATTCGAGGGAGACACTTCCTGCCTTTAGCACCTTTTTAAGAACCGTTTTCTATTTGCAAAAAATACTTTTAACAAATGATTTGACTTTGCTCTTTTAGGCTCTTAATCCTTAACACATTACATTAAAATCTGGACTCGTACACATTTTGCCTTATTGTGTTGACACCCGTGGCCTTAGTCACTCTTAATCTCTTTGTGTTTGCTCTTCTCCCCCTCCAGCATCTCGTGTTCTACTTTCTCTAATATGTCTGCACATGTGTGATGTTTAGATGAATGCACTTTCATTGCTTTATTGAATGCAATTGTATTTTGCGTGCACTTGCAAGGGTGGATAATTTCCCCCAAAAAATATACAAGAGATATCGCGACGCCAGCTCCTGTTTGATATGAAACAAAGACTTTGATCTGACTGTGGCTGCTGCCGCTGGCCGAGCTTTTAGTTGTCTCGTCTTTCAACCCCATTTGTTTAACTCTCCTTTTCTCCTCTCCTCCTCTCATCCCCTCTCCTCTGTATCCCAATTTCCCTCCCTATGTGGTCCTGTCTCCTTCTGTTTTGTGTTTCAGCCTCTCTCTGTGCTCTGCTGTGACAGTTAACAGAGGTCACTGTTTACTCGCATTTATCAGTCAATCATCGGCCACTGCAGGGTTCCAAACACTACCCTTCGTCCCGCTTTTATCCCCACAGTTTCCTGGACAATTATATAATAATATTATGGGGTGTTAATTCAGCTTAGTACATTGCAAGTGTTTTCTTTTTGTATCATTGCCTGCCATGAGCCCAATACTGCTTAAATTCTCAGGAAATGTGTAACGGCTGACAAGATATTATTTTTGTCATCGTGACAATGTATAATTAATGGGGCTTGGAATCCATTATTATGCGGTCAGTGTAATAAATAATTAGACAGAAGGGATTCTAGAGTTATAATTTAGCCCATTTGTAAAATTAAGGACTGAAAAGATTGTATTATTTTGTCAGTGTGATCGGACCTTGATGTAAACCACTTAATTCATGGCAGGAGCATTAGTCCTATTGGTTCTCTTGTTGCAAAAAGTTTTGAAGATTTCAAATGTTTTTCTTAATCCTTGTCTTGATCTTTGCTCGCCATTATCATAATAATAATAAAAAAACAAGAGCAGATATCACTTAGGCTAATGTAATGCAAAAGCCCTCAGCCCCACTACACTCATTTCTGATGGCCATAATTAGCATTTTTATGAATAAATTACAGGTTGATTTTATCTATTTTCTTAATAATGTTTTAGTTACATTAGATTTTAAAACAAATGCATGTAAAGTCTTGGATGTTCTTGGCTCTGTCCGGCCCATCAGGTGTTGTTTGGGCACAGTCTGGTAGAAAGATAAATTCATCATGGTGTCCTTTAATATGAAGGTGTCTGCCTCTGTCTTGATTAGGAGGACTTTCCCTTGACGTATAGTACCTATATGTCGACATGTTGAAACCAAGGGAGCGGTCGAATGTTAAGATGAAAGAGAGAAAGGTTGGAAAAGCACTTTGGCCAAAAACTCCTAAAGCTTGAAAGCTTGGCACATGGTTTAAGGACGAGCTGGCACAGGGACACAGAAACACAGAAACTAATTACACTGGTAAGGAGAGGCTAATCAAGTACAGGTCAGATGAATCAGGGCCTAGTACAAATCCACACAGGCAAGAAGAAAAGGAAATGATCACTTGGAAAACAAAAAAAGAAACACAACAAACCTAAAAGACATTGCAAAAGCTTCCTGGTTTACCCTGTGTCCTCCTTTTCTTCGTACAGTAAAACAACCAGACTCACAACAGTTTGAAAGAGTTTTATCTGTAATCACAGGAAACTTAGCTTTATACCATTTAGAGGACAAAAATCAAGAGCAAGCACTGTTCACAGTGTTAATTCAGTATGGCAGCAGGCCCATATGTAATGAACATCTTGAGGGGCAGAGGGATGACTCGCCTTACATAACTGTTAAAGTTGGCACAGTCTCAGCAGCAGGCAGAGTACAAGTGGTAAAGCAGGGAGGAGCTGACACATCATGGGGGCCTCATCACGTTCAACCAAAGGATAACATTGGTTGTAGGCCACAGACCATCTTCGAATAGGTTTGTATCATGTATCGTTTATTTGAAGAGATTCCAACAGAATTGGATTTCTGGAAATCAAAGCTATATTTTAGATTCAACCCCTCACTAGCTTCATTTACAATTCTTTTTTCAGAAGCATTTGAGTCAGTGGTGTACCTCTGAAGGGCAACCAGTGTGGCCATTGGTTAGCAATTAAGGACTTCCAGCTGAGACTTCCTTTTCCCAGCGTTACAGTTGTGTAGTCCAACTAGCACTTTCAAATAGTGTTAAACATGATGAATAAAGAGGCTGAATTTAGGAAAATATGATGTGGCTGGTTAAGAAATAACGCAATATTCATTTTTTGTTTCATGTGAGACTCAAAAGAGTGAACGTACTGCGTTAAGAAGATTTACTTTATTGATCCCCGCAAGTGGAAATTTCAGTTTTTACACAAGTCATGCAACACACACATACACACACACTATTTGTGCCAATTTACACATGCACAAACAGGATCCTATGGACATGCACTAATGGAGAGATGTCAGAGTGACGGAGCTGCCCACAGCGGGCGCTCCTGAGCTGGTGGTGGGGAGGGGAAGTGATCTGGCACCTCTCCAGCTACCAGACCAACTTCCATATTTGGTCTGCACCGGGACTTGAACCGGCGACCCTCCAGTTCCCAGCTACTGCCGCCCCGTTACGGGTTTAGGTTGGAGTGTCCTCATTACCCTGCCAGGAAAGTGACCATAAAACAGAGAAACATTTTCATGTGCTCCCCTCTTTCCATATATGAGGCCTGCAGGAATATCATAATCCAATCATTGCTTCAATAAGACTGTGTCTCATTCTAACTAGATCATGGTCCCTGTATGCCTCAGCTGCTCACTGAGGTTTCCATGGTGGACACACATATACACATTCAACACACACACACACACACACACATCTCCAGCACACATACAAACATGCTAAGAGCTGTCCTTTTCTTGGCTCAGAGCCAACAGGAGCCATCATTGGCCCTCATCTCTGCTCTCCACCATCTGACATCCAAGCAACACTTCCTCCTCACACTCCCCAACCTCCACCTTCAACTCATCCCTCTCTGATCCAGGGATGCTACATAAAAAAGAGCAACATTTTATGTGCCCCAAAAGCTACCAATCAACAAATCCACCCACCACCAACCACCACCACCAACCACCAACCACTTCTCCAGGGGCATTTCCAGAAGTATCATTATTTAATCACCGCTTTAATAAGACCAAACCCACCCATGTACCCTCCAGGCTGAGAGTGGCCATTACCCTCGGACACCCCCAGGACACACACACACTTACACACACACACACACTTACACACACCATCTCTCTCTCTACACACCTCACATACATCAGTATGTCTTTAGCACTGACCGGGCTGCTCAGGCAGTGAGAGGAGAGACAGAGTATTAGTATTCAGAGCACAAGGAGGAGGAAAAAAAAAAGGAGAGGTAGCGAGAGAGCAAGCAGCGAAAGAGAGAGAGAGAGTGAGAGGGAGGGGATAGTGAAATAGAGAGAAGGGAAAAAAAACACACAAGGAGGGGGGGAAAATATAAGAGTAGAACACGGGAAACGGGAGGGAAAAGAGGGGAGGGCAGGGATATCATATTGTGCATTTCTCGCGCTCAGTCTGCCATCCCGGTTGCGGGGCTTATATCTCGGTGCGTCTTGGAGAAAAAGACAGAGACAGGAGGGGGTGGACGAGCTAGAAGAGGGCGGAATGCCCCTTTACAAGCGTCGCATCTGACTAAAACAGCGGAGCGGTTCATAAATTGGAAATTGGTCAGAGAAGAAGACGCCAAGGTAGGAGGAAATTCCCTTTGTTACTCCTGTAGCAAACATGAATTCGGGTCTGTGCTACCTGCGATGTGCGCGTTATTCGCGTCACATCTCCTTTGATCTCCTGTATCCCGCACTGGGCTCTGCTGAATGTGCCCTAAATCTAGCAGCATGTGTCTGTTTTCCATTAATATTTAATGGATATTATTTGTGCATCACCCTGGCGCTTCCATATTGCATTTCAGTCAGCGGAAGGTTTCTGTTTCGAGCATACATTGGGATGCATGTTATGTGGAGGCAGGCTGTACAGGCTGTGTTAGCGGGTAGCTCGTTTCTGTGGCTCAAGTGTATCTATGGCAGCTCTGCACACTGATGATGGATATTTAACTTTTGAAAACGCTATTTGATACAGGCTTATAAGACGATCAGACAGCGGGGTGCGCGCACGAGCACGCAGAAAACACACAGAAGACAGGTTGACGTGCGTAAGACGTGCGTAATCCCCCCTCCACCCACACCCCACCTACACCCCCCCAATCTCACACACACACACACACACACACACACACACACACACACACACACACACACACACACACACACACACACACACACCCATTACCATCCAGTTGCTCCATCTTCCTTACCACAGAGAAACATACTTATGCTAAAATACCAAAAACCCCGACCACTGAGACACCCTGACTCACCGACTGGGACATAGGGGCAGGTGAAAAATGAAGTGAGGGCAGCCTGTAGTATATGAGTGTGTGTGTGTGTGTGTGTGTGTGTGTGTGTGTGTGTGTGTGTGTGTGTGTGTGTTATAACACTCCCTGTCTGTAAATAGGTCCGGCTCTGCAGCTCCACTGGCTGTGCAAGAGACAGGAAGAGCAGCACAGATATCCCAGGGTTACTGGCTGGCCACTTGCTCTCTATTTCCTGTCCCATGTTATAGATCATTTAGACACTTGCAGTTACAACAGGCCCGAATCGGTAGGAAGCTGTGAAATCCTGAACAGCAACCTTTGCTATGTGTGAATGTGGGCTAGAAATAGGTAGAGATAAAAAGGAGACAGCGTCTGCTGGTTTGTGAACGGGTGTTTGATTGCATGTTTATAGAGATATATGGTCTTAAGCAGATATTAAGGCCCACTCTTTCCCACTTCATGTTATTTATTTGCTGTAAGGGTGTCCAGAAGCTATTATAGGACGGGTGAAATTGGAACAACCTCGGGCTAAGGCTCAGCAAAGCTATTACCTCTAGTCAATAGACATTAATATCCACACGCTCAATCTTGGCCTCATACGGTGCCGTCCTGGAGTAACCAAAAAGACGTGTTGTCGTAGCCGTATCTGTTTACCCCTGTGCATCAATCTGTCACAGCCCAATGAGCACAGAGGAGCGATGATGGCATTGTCTCGGGTAAACACCACTGTGCCCTCAAAAGGAAGTGATGCAAAACGAAACGCAGGATGTGCCAGCGTCGGTTGGAGAGAGGTCAAGACCTCTTTGAATCGGGTATGGTCCCGATGAAGGGCCGATGATCTAAGGACACATGAGTGCATCGAATTGAGACGATGCACAACATGATATGGCCCAGCAGGGTCCATCAGACCAGACAGTATCGAAGTCTGGAACTGAGAACACTGGTTGCCAATTTGATGAGGACAACCAAGAGGAAAAGTCACCTTTAAAAAAAACGAAATAGTGTTTATGCAATAAATTTCATTCAAGATCAGATATGGGAAGTGTGGAATTCGCTTAAATACTTAAGATAATATTCAGACTTTGAAACAAAAAGCAAAAAAGAATGCTTCCAGGGCAAGGATGCAAAAGTCATGAATAATGACTTCCAGGTACAGATGAAAACAAATGAGCATGGCAGCTGATAGGAAGACTTGAAAGCAGGTACACTGAGATCTGACTGAAACATCCTATTAGGTATATCCAATGGATTAGTCTCCTTTGTCTGCAGACGCTTTATGCTCTCACATAAAAAAGGCTCTTACTGTTCTCAGTGAAATGTTGCAATTATGAAGGTATTCAGTTTCTTTCTATGAAGATATCATGACAATATAGCAATAAACGATAATCCCAATTAGTATAAATTGAATACAGGGCATAGGTATGAAAATATATGAAAAGAAGAATATGATCTTGAATTGATGATTGATGAGGAGAACTCTAAAAATGAACCTAAGGCCGATTCTTCTACTATCTCCTCTACTTCCAGTACTCTATAAATAAAATCGATTCAGTGTTTTTGACGAAGTAAAAGCTAAAACTGTAGCAGACCCACATTATTCATATTTCACTCAACACATGGACAAATATTTTATTAGACAAGGAAACGAAATGCCAGATGATGATATGGAGCTGCAATAGATCACAGGTTTGTGGTACAGCATCCGGACGTCTTCTGCTTCTTGTTCAGCCGACAGCAGCATTTCAAAGGCCTTATCACTGTAATTCCCAGACCCAGCTGAGGTGTGTGATTCATTGCTGGGAGACAGATTGCACATACAGATTTTGGATTTAGATCCTTGTTACTGAAAAACCTGCCCCTCCCCCCCCCCCCACAGGTTTGATCAAATTCGCATCAGCCCCCCTGCTTGGAGAATCTCTGTTTGTTTGCCGCTGTTTTTTGGTGGAATATCTGAGCAAGGACGAAAACTCCTGGAATTTTTTTAGACGAGGAGTTCAAAATCTAATACTGTCGGTCAGAAAAGGGTGCATTCGATATTAGATAAATATTTATTGGTTCATGCAGCAGTATGAAATAATAGTACTGGGTGTCATGTTTTTTTTTTTTTTTTTGGATGTGCTGTCTTTCTCTAATTTGTATTGGATTTTTTTCTTCTTCTTCACAGCTCTCTGGGCAACTCAGAGTGGCTCCAAATCCCCCCTCCTCGTGCAAATACAGGAATGATCCCTTCATTATAAGGGGATACAAACGTAAACACCTCATCTTCGTCTTCGCCTAGAAGCTAGATTAAGGATGTAACGGCTCGAGTGAACCAGTTAAAATGAGACATTTAGCGGATCCTGAGTGGTTAACAGGAGGGGCTAGCCTTGGAGGGGCTCAGAGACTTGGTCAAGGACACCCACTGTATGTAAGGCGTTTTCTCACCAGAAGATCCTTGAATCTGGTTTTTAAATAGCTGACAGGTAGCAGATCATTCCCACTGGTCAAACTGGCCTTCTATCCCTGAGACGTCCCCCTCATAATCTGCTGCCTCTCCCATGATTGGGCCTTGACCTTCTCCAGAGCCTTTTGTCTCTGATTGGATATGACCTCCAATACTTATTTCTTGTTCTCCGTAGTGTGATTAGACAGTGACCTTGCATTCCGTCCTGTCTCCTCTCCCCAATCGGACAGTGACCTTACTGGTCGACTGGTCCGTGTTGTGGTGTATCCGTTCCCCGAGAGTATTGATCCCAGGCAGAACAGCAGTCAATGGAGTGTCTGTGGGAGGTTTAGTGTTGCTCTGTGCACTACAGTAGGAATGTGCATTTCTAGGCATGGCGCTGTCAGAGCCGACTGACTCGTCGACATGTTTCTGAAGGCATCTTTATCCGTGGATAACCAGCTTCTGTAAATATTTTTACTTGACTAGATTGCATCCCCAAACCCTTTGATTACCGTTGTTGCTGTGTCACCCTCGCCGCCAGCTTCCAATGCTTTTTTCTGCCCTTCTCCGCTCCATTTTTCCCTGCCTCTTTATCTGTCTCGCCACCAATTTAATGTCAGCATCTCTTTTATCCCTCTCTCTCTCCGTCTCCGTCATCCTCTCACTACACAATCGTTCTGTCTGTCCGTCTCCTCCATTTCTTCTTCGCCTCTCCCTCCTTTCCTGATGCTCTTGCTGGCATTTGAAGCGGCCAGTTTTTGTGCCAGACAGCCATTCCTCAGATTGAGATATCCAGGGTTTTAAAGTCACTCAGACAGATTTACTATCTTAATGGGGAGAAAGTGGTGGGGGGGCAAGAGAAGGCCGGTATAGGATGTTGGGTCTGGATGGCATTTTGATTTGCTAATTTCAGATTCCTTTCTGCAATAAGCCGAGCGGAGATGGACAGATAAATAGGCTCTGCATTATCTGAGTTTCCCTTAGACTGATGTGACAATCTGCTTCTCAAAGGAGACAGAGACAAAGGGCGTTCAAGAGGAGAGCGAGCAAACAAGAGAATAGGTGAAGGCATTTCTTGTTTAGTATCTTGTTGGGAGTGATATAAGTCTATGCCTAATGCTGTGATTGATTGATAGGTGGAAGACAGATGGACACATAAGGAGCACTTTGCTAGGGAGGTGCCATTCAATACACAAAGACTGACGCTGACGTTTTACAGAACAACATACATCAAATGATCAATAGTCCGTCCTCTGTCCGACCAAGCACCTTACTTGAGAAATAGGTCCGCCGCCTCACAAGGACAAAACGACTGACCTACACCATGAACAGTGCTTTGCCCTAAATTTTGGATCCACAACTTGTGGGACACAACACTTTTACAAGACTTTCGGCATAGACACACTTCAGGTTTTTGTTAGACCCAACTTTGCATATAACCCTCCCAATCAGAGTCCCCAGGGACACACAGACTGTGAGGAACTGGAGTTTGGGCATTGACCTGCTTTATTTAGACAGAATGAGCTCAAAAATAAAGGAGTCTAGTTTCTCCTGGATGAAAGGACAAGGAGCGCACACATAAAGCAGTCACACTGAATACACCTAATTATACCTCTGTCTGATATTCCTCCAAAACATTGGCAACATTTTAAGTCTCTTGATGCCACTATCACTGTGCCTGTTCACCGCACTGATTGATCGACTCTTATTGAATTCCAGGTGCTGTTGGAGAGCATCGACGGTGTCTCTTCAGATCTGACAGCGACCTCCAACCCACGCTGACGTGTTGGACAGACCACAGATGTGTTCCACTTTTTTCCTGTTCAACCTAGATGACTGAAAGCTCAGCTCAACTGGCAGTGAAGAAAAACACTTATCTGCAGGCTGCTGTTTGTGGTCTTTGAAACATTAAGAAAATAACAAGCTAAAGGTTATGCGTGCACTGCAGGCACAGCTCTGAATTTCTCAGCCAAATCTGTTTATAAAGACAATTTCACATGTAGAGTGTCTCCGCTCTAGCTTGCAAATTCAACATGGACCACATCCTCTACAGTCGAGTTCACTAAAGGTAAAGGTTCTTCCATTAAAAATTCAGTGCATTTCCCTCTCATAACATTTGTAGCTACTTTCACATATTAAAAATGAGAATTCATAATTGTCCGTACGACTCTTATTAAGGTAAACAGCGTTTGGGTTTGAAGCATTACTTGAAGTTTCAGGATGATTGACCTATTGGTCAGTTTAAGTCAACAAAATAATCACTGTGTCCTCTGGAGATTATTGACAGTTGGGCTCCCATGCAATTATTTATCTCATATTAACATAAATCATATTTAAACTTAAACCATACCAGTGTTTAATTACTCATAGTTAACCTTATTAAACTTTCAAAGCTGGAGGTAAATGTATATTTGATGTATTTCAAAACCTGGTGCAGTTCAACTCACTGCAACCCCCCCCCCCCCCCCCTCGCCTCTGGCATCCGTTATATTGACTCCCATGTCAAAACACATCTTTTTAAACTGGCATATTCTCTTTGATCATTATCCGTCCTGTCTCACAATAATTGATCTTAATTGTATCGATGTGCTGTTACTTTGTTGTTTTTATCTCTGCTTTGTAAGGTGACCTTGAGTGCTATGAAAGACGCTTTTATATAATGTATATTATAATTAATTTATGGAATTGATAAGCTTGCATTATGTACAACTCCTTATGACAAAAACATGGAATTACATTTAATGCAATGAAGGATGGATTGGACTGCCAGTTTTAATCAATACCTAAACTTTGCACAGCGCGGAAAGTTCTTCTTACATGATGCCAGATTCTTGGTACCACTCTTCATAGTGTTAATGGGTATTATGTAGCACCAGAGCCAATGATCTATCAGGGACCAACTGATGGTTTTGGCATCAGTGTTCTCACTTAATGGTTAAGGTGACCAACCTGCCAAAAAGTTGATTTGTACACTTTTATGTCCCAACACTGACGTTGCCATTTTCTTCTTCTTTTATCTCTTCTAGGGAAAGAGAGAGGGGTGGGTGTCGCTCAGTCACACATGGGAGCATCAGTCTGGTCCTTGTGATCCAGACCAAGACACCCTGAAGAGCCCCTCCTTTTCCTCCTTTATCTGCACTGCCCCCCCTGAGCTCCCTGGGCCTCCTGTTCCTCAGCTCACACCTCGTAGAGGGTGGACAGGCAAGAAACTCTGCTTAACCGAGCGCCGTCCGATAGGTGAGGGCGGTGAGGGCGGTGAGGGCTGCGCTGTTATTTGTTGACTTCCGGTGAGAGTGCGATGCGGATTGGAGGATGTCGGGGGACTGGGATGAAGACCTGTGTAAGAAGGCGCTGGTGTTGGTGGAGGAGCTGTGCTTCCACTCCTCGAGGGGCTACAGCCAGAGTGAACGCTGCCAGGAGTTCAGCTACTTGTTAAGAGGACGCAACAGACAGCTGGACACAGGTAACTGACGCAGCTTGACACTTTGTTTGAATAAGTCAAGTTTCATGTTTTGTTTAAAACAATGTGTATAGGAAGTTCTTGTTTAATAGAGCAGTCTATAACATGAACCAGACTCTAAGACCGTGCTAGCAGCTGTGTGCGGCTTGATTGACTTGCACTACTGCGCTGTGATCGGCTGCTTTCTGCTGCCTCAAAGTCTGCCTGCAGGTCTGTCTGCAGGGATGCTTTTCAACCATAGGAACAGAAACTTGTTTTATCCCGTATGGACTCCATGGCTTATTGTTTTGAACCAAACCTTTTTGTTTTCACAAACTTTAACTTCAAACTTTCCACTCGGATTTTATCCAGAGTTTTTCCTGCCAGCCTCCTGGTGAGCTGATGTGACGACACAGCAGGATATAATCAGGGGGATTTAGCTCAAGCAAGTGGGAGGGGCAGGTGATGTTTATTCCTTGCGATTGGTGCACAACCATAAACTGTATGCACGCGACCGATACAATCGCCTAAAATGGACCTAATTAAAGAGCTGCTGTTAATTGAGATTTAGCTGAGGTTGATAGTTGGTTTCAAATGGGACACAGTAGACTGGAAACAGTGGTTTAAATCCAAAGTGTTGGACACAATGGAATTTTGACATGATAGTGATGTGAGGAGAAAGTTTTTTTCTGACAGTGGCATGAATGTTTCAGCTAGGAGGCAGCCCAAAAAACCTTCCCTAGGGCTATGCCTCTAGCAAGGCTAAAAATCAATAGTGAAACTTGCCTGAGACAAAGCAGTACTTCTGTCAAAAGGTACCATTGTGCTATAAAACCCCCCGTCCATTTGTTTGGAGGTTTGTACATGTTGGTAGTTTACTCCTTAAAACACGGCAGTGGCTGTGGTCAACTTGAGCCCTTTTCTAATCTACTGTGAAACATGTTAAACAATCTGAGACATACCCTACAGACATCTCAAAAGGAAAAGGAGACTCTATGTAGCCATATGCTAAATTAATTCAACTAGGGCCTGACTGATATGGTATGATTAAGGCCGATACAGATATCGATATTAGGGAGAGAAAAAGTCTGATATCAGCCGATATCTTTCTTAGAGCTATCTTTGATCTTTAAAGATATCTATATCTATATATATATATAGATATATATATATAGATATACACATGTATTGTGTTGACCCCTCAACAACAGTCATCTAACACTTGTGAAAAAGATATATAATGAAGAAAAGATGGTAACTTAACTAGAATATAACTTCATATGCACATGCATCACAGCTTGAAACTCTGGAGAGTGATGATGTTTGTTGTAATCCATATAGCACACTCTGCTGGTGTCAGAGAACTGCTAGTGTAATACAATGATGCTAAAATGAAATGCTTTTTGACTGGTGAATAAATCTAGTTATATCGGCATATATCTGCGATAAAATTAGCCGATACCAAGACACTTGATACGCTTATATCTGCTGATATTATCGGCTGGCCGATTAATCGGTCAGGCTCTAATTTCAGCCTTTACAAACTACAGCTATTGTCGTAGTTTATGATTTTTTTTTTTTTTTTGCACCGAACCTGCTGAGAAAACTTGAGCTAGAGCTTTATCTCAAAGCGGATGGGTCTTTGAAACTTGAAAGAGTTGGGAATCGCTTTGAAGACCTGATGGCCCACTCAGAAGGGAATTCTGAAGCAGGAAAAACTCCAGTTTTGCTTTGTCATTTGGGGACAGGTACAGCAACATGACATATGTGAGAAGGAAAACATTTAGTGGAGTACTTGTGTTTAAGGATGTTTAGAGGTACTGTGCACTCAGGACAACAAACCATTAAATATTCATCTGCAACACTGAAATGGTTGAGATATCCAAGACCATCCCATTTCTTTTATGAGCTCCAAAAGAGTCTCGGTAGACTTCTGGGATTGTTATCTCAGAACTGGATTATAAATATGTATTTATATATTTTCTACCCAGTTGAGTAGATGCATTGTGCTGCATTGTGTGCAGAGAATTATGTGTGGGTTCTCATTGAAGCATTTGGAAGTGCCATGCACTGTTATGCAGATTAGCATGGATATCTGTGGCTCAGTGTAGATTAGCCAGGATTGGCTGCATGCTGCCTCTGGAGCTTTGGATAGCTCTGTGCAGAAATGTCACGCCATGGTTTTAGGCGTTGGCCCCCTCGCTTACAGGCTGTGATTTTTCGGTGTGTGCTGACGGAAGTCTGCGAGCCCTCCCAGGACCGCCGCCGCCGAGAGCTGTCAGAGGAATGGCTTGTGTAAGCAGTCGCGATGTGTTTGTTGTGGAGTGATGTAGGACTCCCAGTGGGCTTGCATCAGCCACTGATTGACAAGAAGTCTCGGCCCCCCTTTCATGGTACACTTCAGAGGCCTCCTACCCACCTGCCTACTCGCCCACTGACTCGCTTTTTTATGCTTTGTGGATTAGCAATGGATCTTTGGCAGGATCAGTGCTCGGGAAGGTGTAGCGACTGCCCTGAAGAGAGACAAATGGAGGCGAGTGGTTTGGCCCCCGACCGTCCCCCGCGCACGTTTGATCACTGCCGTGTCTTATCAGTGCACCCTGATCTGCCAACCACACGCAACCTACTCCTCTACCTCCTCGCTTTGTTTTTCCCCCTACAAATCAATACATTAACCTTTCCCATCCTTAAACCCCTCCCCTCTATGGGTCTCCCTGTAAATCATTGTCAGCTTGTTTTCCTCCATCGCTCCTTTCTTTTGCTTTCTCTACAAATGCCTCTTTGGTTTCTACTATTTCACACACGCCGCGGTGGTTGCATCGACTTTATCAAGCGTCCTCCCTTCCTCCTCTTCTTTCTCCTCCTCCTCTCCAGTCAACTTACATGTCAGTTTTTAACATGTGCTCCAATCTGTTGTCAACCCTCTCCCTGTCTATTTGGCAGCCGTTTTGTGGTTTGGATTGTTTTTCGTCGGACTCCATTCTCCTTCATCACTACTGTCCTCTCTTTCTTGATGTTGTCTATCTCATCTTACCTTCCCTTTTCCCTGCTTTCCTCTCCTCTGGCTCCATCAGCCCCCCCCCCCCCCCCATCTTATCTCCATCGTCACGTTCTCTCTCCTGCATTCTTATTTTCTCTCCATTTCCAGCCCCTTACTCCCCGCTTCCTACCTCGTCTTGCTGTCCGCGGCGACAGATCGATGTCCCCTTGCCCATCCCCCAACCCTCGGCGGCCCCCCAATCATATCTTTTGAACAAGTGCTGATTAATGACATACACAGACTGATGAATAATTCACCAAAGAGAGAACGAGGAGGGAGAGGCAGGGGAGGAAGGAGGGGGGCGCTGACGAAGAAGGAGACGGCCGCTGAGGAGAGGAGTAAAGTCAATGCGAGCTGAGGCAGAGAGCATGGGAAAAGAAATGACAGCGAGGAATGAGGGGTGTTTAAGGGGATTATATAGAGGAGAGAGTGAAAGAGAAAGAGAAAGGGAGGATGGGTGGAGAGTGAGAAGGCGAATCAGGCTCCAGAAGACGTACCCCAGGGCTGGAGGCTTGGCTGCCTGGCTGCCGTTTTCTTGTTTTCACTCATCTGCTCTTAGTCTTCTTGTTTTCAGCCTGTTACAGACACAATTTCAATCTTCTTTTTTTTGTGTGATTTACCAGTGTTTAAGCGTTTCTCATGCCCACAAAGATGCTCTTAACTATAGTAAATTGAAGGAAATGTGGGTTAAAGAAAAGGAGGTCCTTCTGTCAATCTTGTGGGTGGCTGAGGAAACACTTTCCTTTCACAAAAAGAAACTTCTCTTCTGTACAAAAGTGAGGATTGGCCTCCCTGCACACTGAATGGATTAATAATTGGTGGCCTCGGGGTCTCGAGCCAAAGATTGGGAGAATACAAGATGGCGAGAACATGGGGGTATCAGGGTGAGAAAGAGCATAAAGTTGGCGTTATCTACACCCTACAACACATGAATATTCATATTCAGCGCTCTGATTAATCCTTTTGTCAAGACAGCCATCAGACTCAAAACATGCTATTTATAAAGAGACTTCAAATGGCTCAGGATAATAATAAATATTCATTGTATTTTTAAACTCTTTATTTATAAAGATTCATGGAATATTTATAGCGTAGTAACTAATTTATGACTTCATCCTGGAGTTACGTATTATAACATCTGACACGTGGAGTTCTGAACAGAGCCACAAAAAAAAGTTTCTGAGATCTGACGTCGACTCTCTTTGATGGAGGCTGGAACTGTCCAACAGTGTGGTGCTGAAACTGTGCTTTCTCTTTTTATTCTGTACTCTATATCATCTGGATGAGTCATGCGCCACCCTCCAAAACACCAACATCCATAACCCACCCCCACACCCACACACATGCCTACCCCCTCCCAACCCTCAAACACTAGTTCTTGAGCTTTTCCCAGATTAATAAGCCACTAAGCACGAGGAAACGCTGGCTGCCATTGCATTAACACATCACTCTGGGAGCTGGCGTTTTAAAATAAATCTTCTGCTTCCCCTCTTCTCTCCTCCCACCATGTCTTCCCTCTCTTCCTCCTCCTGTAGAGATCTCTGTTAGTCTGCTGTCGGTCATCGTGACATTCTGTGGCATCGTCCTCCTCTCTGTCTCCCTCTTCGTCTCCTGGAAGCTCTGCTGGCTGCCATGGCGGGATAAGGAGGGCGGAGGCCTGAGCCTGACGTCAGGGCTGCTGCCCGGAAGCGCTGGAGTCGGAGGCCTCGGCGGCGCCGGCGGTGGGTCGCTCCTGCCCCCGCTGCTGCAGAGGAAGGATGGCCACTCGTCATCCTCGCTCTACCCTTCGCTGGGCCAGCAGGGCCAGCACCACCCACATTTCTCTGACCTGGTGGGGCTCGAGAGAGGGGAGGTGGGAGGTGTGGTTGGGGGGCCACAAGAGACCCAGGAGCACTCGTACCTGGACATGGACTCGTACCCCAACAATGCAGGTGATGCCCTAGACATCCTTTATTCCAGGCTGACAGTAAAAAGAAAGTGATTCAATAAGTTTTTATTTTAAGACACTCACTGAGATGCTGAATTTAGCTTATTTACCAACATGTGGTTATTATAAGTCATCTAAGCTGCAGCATGAGGAATATTGTTGAACGTTTTCTGTCATGGGGCTATTGAAGAAATATTACTTTTTCTTCTTTCTCTCCTGGCCTCTTAAAACACACAGTACAGCACACGTACGGGGAATCTGGAAAACAAAGCAGAGTGCATTCCTGAGCAGCTCTTTTTTATTAGAGGATTACTCTGCTTTGTTGACGTTTCAGTATAAGAATAAATCTGGATGTAAAAATGTTTAAATAAAAAATTGAAGCATAAAGACCAGGTAGAACTTTCAGAACCATCAGTTTTTAAAGGCATAAACGTTGGCTACGTTACTTAAAAAAACGATTGCTTTTACTTTCCATATATCATACAGTAGATACATGTTTGTCTTGCATTCACTGACATCAATCACTGTTCTTTTGTCTCTTAAACAATTGAAATTAGAACAAGTGTAATTATACTAACAGCTAGCGTAGATATAATGTAGCTTTAAGAGACCTGATGTTATTTAAAAAACGTACATCCTGCTGTTGCATTTATCCTCCTTTGCTGCACTGGTACAAGTTGTTTTTCATTTTTCTGAGTCAAATGTTTCCTAGCTGCCTTTGCTGCAGTGAAATGAGCCTCCTTTATGTATCTCTGTGTTGTGTTTCTTTTCATTCTGCTTCATGTTCTGCTTTTGTAAATATATCGTCTCACTTTCCTCTCTTCTTTGCTGTTTTAAATTGTAAAATCAATGTGATCCAATCAATGGGATCAATGTTTCCAACCCAGCATCACGGAAACAAAAAAAACAAAACATTGCTCTTAGCCAATGCAACATTTATGGCCACAACAGCACTAACAACGGAGACATGTGAGTCATCAGGGATTTGTTGTTTTCTGCCTCTGTTAGGAACTCTGAAGCTGAGTACGACGTCGCCAGATGTTCCAAACACAGAGGGGGGAGCCCATCCTCATAAAGACCTGCCCAACGCTCATTCTCAGCAGCAGGTCACCCCACGGTTCGTACTGGTTTGGTTTTTGAGTGTGTGTGGGTTTATAGGAGCGTGTGGATTTTTCATTTGTGTCATGTTGCGGGTTTCGATATGGTGCTTTATTCAACAGGAGGGAAGCTTAACCCTCAGCGACGCTTTAAAGAAAACGAAACAAGAAACAAAATAAAGGAAAAAAAGTCTTAAAGGACCTCTGGAAATAACACACGCACACTGACAAAAACATTTTCTTCATATTGGCTTTAAACATTTTTACTCTCTCTCTTTTTTTCGGTCTCAGATTGGGCAGACGCCGGATTTTAAATCAAGACGAGTCAAAGACCACAATTGAAAAGCTATTAATCCAAGTCATTAATGTGATTAGAAGGCAAACACCCCTTTCTAAAAGACCAAATAACTTCCATTCATTCATAATTAGAGTCATTATCTTCTTATCCCTCGGTTACGTCCTCAAACCTTCCCGGTGTTAAAGTCTAAGTGAGTGACGTGCCTGCTGCACACACAATGATTTTTCATTGATATTTATGGCCTTGGTCTTGGTCTTGGTGTTGATCTTGACTCGGGCTCAATCCCTAAATGTCTTGGTCTTGTCTCTGTCTCTCGGCCTCGGAGCACTCTGGTCTCGGTTACTGTGGTCTTGACTACAACACTAATATGGACTGGAAATGAAAATAGTTACCAATCCTGGCAGCCTGTATCACATTTAGTTTCTCTGATTGGTTGTTGTTTGAAGAGGCATTCTGGTCTGTGTTGTTGGATAAACTCCTCTGTAACTCAAAAAATTAAAGAATCAAGACTAGTTCAAACTTTAATATTGGGCCTGGCTAGCTCCGGATTTATATCATACAACAACGTGATATATTAATTTGTGTTTTTGGGTGACTTACTCCAGAAGCACCATCATCATCACACAGTTAGCCACTTTTAATAACACCTACTAATAGAGGTGGGAAAAAAATTGATTTATGTAAAAATTGAGATTCTTATCGTGAGAGATTTTAAATAGATTCATAACTTCCAATTTTTTTTTTTTTTTAGGCTAATCAGTCACTCCCTGCTACGTGCTAATGCTAGCTATTTAACTCAGTAGAATGCCAAATGGAGCAGCAAGAAATTCAGCCAGTCTGTCTGGAGTAGATCCTGAATTATACAAATAAAAAAATAGACTTGGAACATGAATACAGAATTGTTTCGAATCGAAAATAGATTCTGAATCGAATTGTGACCCCCAAGAATTGAAATTAAATCGGGAGATACTTAAAGATTCCCAGCCCTACCTATAAAGCATAAATATGTTAATTTTGTGCATGAACACTAATGCAAGCAAAAATAGTCTATTCTCCATTTAGATTGTTCACCTTTCACTGCATCTCTGATTAAGCTACTGAATCACGCGGTTACACACCATGTTTTTGTGTGTGCGCTCACGTGGCGGTGCGCTCCTTGCTCACTGTTCACCCTCTGAGCTTTTTGTGTGTCTCTTTAGGCCCAAGCCCATGACTCACCAGCTCTCCAGCCCTGACTTCCACGAGGAGAAGGAGCAGGTTACCAGCATTGGGCAGATCAAACCGGAGCTCTACAGGCCAAAGGGCGACCAGGGTGAAGGCAAACAGGGCGACAACTGCGGCAAGATCAGCTTCCTCCTGCGCTACGCCTTCAAGTAAGTCAGCAAGTTTCTGCTCGAGCATCCTACACGCTCTGTCAGTGTCCAGCGCCTGGAAAAAAAAAAAAAAAGTTTTGAATTTTAACTTCCATGATTCATTGCCACTATAAATGTTAGATATAAAGTTTGATTTAAGGTCACACGGATGGTTAGTCACCACCGGCTGAGACTAAGATGCTGAATCAGTGTCTGGGAAACTAAATGTGTTCCGCTTTGGTCAAAATATGAAACTTTTTAGCTCACTGTGGATGAAAGTTCATGAAAAAACATGTGCCGAAATGTTAAGAGTTCATGCTTTTACTGTTTTGTGTCGTCAAACTAGGTGGGATGTCTAACTGTAACGCTTTCATGTTGATAACAAAAAACCTAATGACCCTGTAAAGACCTTTATTAAAACATATCATTTGATTCAAACAGAAGTGGAAAGCTTGGCCTCGGGGTTGTTCACACCTGCGTGTATCATGTAGCTTAAAGGTCTCCAGCTGACTAATTGTGATTTTTTTTTTACCTTCTCTATCATTTTGCCCTGAAAGTCAAAGGCTTTCACGCGCAGTAATTAAATCAGTCTGAACACAGACAGTTGAGAGATTTATTAAGGTAGATTAAAAGACAAAAATGTTTCAAGGGCGATAGCTGTAAGAACATATAAAGGGGCTTCCCAGTGAGAGTTGCAGGGGAAACTATTTGTGACTTGGGAGTCATATTACATTGCTACTTCTGCTCAGGAAAATATCTTTAAGTTTGTTTATCATTGAGTAGACACAAAAAAGATAACCTCAATTGAGACACGCCATCCAACATACCTCAAGTTACTTATTTGTTCTTTATGATGTCTAAATGAAATATGAATGTCTGTATAAGGAGAAAGAACTGTTCTTTCAGCTCTGTACAGCACAGATTTCTGTTCTTACTTTTCTTTTTTGCTCCTGTGACGATTCTCTGTTGAGTATTCTCGCCTGAAGTACGTAATTGTCTGATGCCATGCTGTGAGGACCGGATTATGAGAGCGTGTGTGTTTTATTGTGAGTGTGTGTACTGTAACTAAGGCTTGTTGTGGGTTGTGGCGAGGAGAGAGAGTGTGTGTGTGTGTGTGTGTGTGTGTGTGTGTGTGTGTGTGTGTGTGTGTGTGTGCGTGTGCGCGCGCTCTGCTGCTCCATTCCTCGGTGCGTCTGCGGGCTCAGCTGGCAGTCCCCCCATTTCTTCGTGGCCCGACATGTAGAGACATTACAAACAGGCGAAAGTGCTGATGATCAGAAAAGAAAGGGAGCGAGAGGCCGTTTCAGTCATGAATTATATATGGACACTTAAACAGCATCCCTGTCAACACGTAATTTTTATAAGGTCACAAGGTACCAATAAGGCTTTTATAAGGTCACAAGGTAAGTTAGGCTCAGTCATGCTGTCGCTGCCTGTCACCACGCTGGATGGAAATTGTTTCAAGCAAGGCAACTTTATTCATACGCACGTCTCAACAACACGCTGTTCACAGGGCTTTACATAAGACCAGGAAGGCATTAATTAGTTAAAAATAGTTAAGAGTGGGAGTGATGAAGGATTAAAGAAGAAAGGTTAGAGCGGTAGCTTCAAAACGAGTGTGTACTGTAAGCATGTGTACGTGAACACAAAAGGTGGAGGTGTGTTGGCACTGGGACTGTGATAGGAGTGGTATATGTTAATGCGTGAGCCCCCGCTGTTGGGAGTGTTACAGTCGGAACAACAATGTCAATCTTCCTCAGATCCTCTGGGAAAGCCATTTCTATTGACAATCCCATTAAAAGCTGACACATTTTCTTCTGTGGGAATAACAGCTAGCTTTCAGGGCATTGTCTGCCAGGAATAAGGCCGTGAATTTTTCGCTCTCTGCTCGAGCAGTAATAGGTACATTCTTCTGCAGCACGCCTCACGGATTGTGTGAAAACCTCGGCTGCGGTTCACGTCTCGCCCTATAATAAGACATGTGATGAGAAGCGAAACCTGCGACAGCGTGCGAGTGAATGAACAAAAGCATGGAAAACGCAGAATGATCTCTCTTTTTTTCTGCTGTTTCCATTCGGGAATTGTCTCTGCCGTCACATGTCTCCAAATCCTACTGGATTAATAATCATTAGATGCATATTTGAATCGGTCAGGGTTTTCTTGTTAAAATATTTATCTGGCTGAGCTGGGAATGTAATTCTCCCCAGTAATTGGCCCTGTATATCATCAATGTGATTGCAGAGTGGGCATGTTTATCCAATTGCCTTAATTGGATATGATTCAGAGGTAAACACATGTCTGGATTGGCCACGGTCATATTGTCAACAAGCATATCTTGTTTTTGATTGGTGCACATGGGCAGTGGATCATATAAGTGTCCAGGGTCACTGTTGACGTTTGCCCTGCGTGTCCTCCCTGAGCCTCAAAGTTCACACTGCTCTCCTATAGTAGCTAATGAAGTGCTGACACGCTGGTTAACAGGCAGAGACACAGTCTAATGAGGTCTGATTAAAGGCCTCCTGGCTGTCTTCATCTTCATCTGCCAATTAAATACAGAATAAACGGCACGTGTGACGGCAGCCATGACTCTGCATGGACTACTCCAACGTAAAGCCGTGGATATTATGTGTGTTATATCTACTGTTTTTAAATAATAATAAAAATAAGACGATGTTGAGACATGCTACACACACTGTATATAGACTGACATAAACACACATGCACAAACAGGATCCTATGGAAATTCACTAATGGAGTGATATTCATTCCATTGAAGTATTTTATTATTTTCAGTCACATACACATCTCAACCCCTGTTAAATGTCCTTTTAGAAGTAAAAACAAAATCTGATGAAAATTTGGAAGCCATAATTCACTGGTTGCAGCTCTTTGTGTTCCAATATTTTCGATTTTATTCTCTTTGAAATCAAAGTGACCTCATTAGTTTTGGGTTTAAGACTTTTAGTAGGACAATGCAGGATGTTTTTTAGATTCAAATTAAACTAAACTGTGATGGTCATTAGAACCTGTGATGGACCATGTTTTCATACATTTTAAAAGGGTCATATTATGCTTTTTCTGGTTTTATATGCTCTTTAGTGTGTTTTCCATGTATCCTGTGCATGTTTAGGCACATCTATTTGCAAAAACTCAAAGTCTGCGGAAACGCGGCTTCTCCTACGTCCTCCTGTTAGCTGCAGCATTAGCTGCATGTAACGCTCGGTTCTAGCCCCCCTCGAAAAAAAATTGTCAGTGTGACGTCTTGTCAGTGTGAGATCACTGATCTAAGCCCATTGGCTCGTTGTGGCAAGCCCAGCAGCTCATGTCACTTCTGTAGCACGCCCATGATATGCTGTAGCCTGCGGTAGCACAGTAGTGATACTAATGCTAATGTTTTTGCTCCCCGGCCCTTGGAGCCAGAGTGGCTGAGCGACTGACCAATCACGACAGAGCCGACAGGCCAACCAATCAGATCAGACTTGGCACACGTGGGGACTCTGAACGTGGGCACTTCAGAGCCTTAGAGAGAGAGAGTCAGAAGCGAGCCGGTGCATGGAGCGGCAGAACATGAAAATAGACACTTTTTTCTAACTTTAGCTATTGTGAACATACTTTAGTAGATACATAGATTAAATATACAAACCCCAAAAAGGGCATAATATGGGCTCTTCAAGGTCCAAAAGGTTATAGGAGAATCTCATTACATATGACTCCTATATGTAAGAACAAGTTTTATTTATGGCCAAACATTAAACTGAAAATATAGACATGTCTCTTCACAAAGAAATCTGACTTAAACAGCAGCAGCATTCAACAAATTTAAGCATCTAAAGGTAGAATTACTTTTTTAAAAATCGTCCTTTTCAATCAGATTTAGGAGCTGTAGCAACATTTAAAAAGGTACTACATAGTTTTTGTTGTGGCTACAACAGGTTCTCAGACAAAGAAGGTATAAATAGAATATGCTTTATTATTGAAGAAACTTTGATTCATTAGATGTCTGCACACACAAGAAAGCTAAAGATCGAATGCTAATATAACTTTTTTTCATTGTGTGTCTGATTTGTGTAAACAACTCTCTATATGTTGCACAGAGTGAGAAACGTGTGAAAGATTAGCCATGAGCTCAGCTCTGACCAGACTCTGTACATCTGTGCTTACTGTGCTTACATTCAACATCGCTGATGGTGCAACCTTAAAACAGCTGCAGGGATGACACGCACACACACACACACACACACACACACACACACACATTCACACAACCACACATGCTATTTTGGCTCTTCCTTGCTTCAGAGACACGGAACCTCCCACGCTATTATGTGTGCACAAAGCCTGCAAAGGTGTGTGTTTATGGTGTGTGTGTGTGTGTGTGTGTGTGTGGGTTGATCCTGTCTGGGTCTCAGAGGGTGTTGGTGTAAATTTGTGCGACCCCGGCCTTTAAAGTCTTCTTTTTTATCAGCATGTGAAATTCTAATGGGGTTTGATGTGTGTGTGTTTGTGTTAGTACGGAGCAGCTGGTGGTGAAGATCTTAAAAGCTCTGGACCTGCCAGCGAAGGATGCCAACGGCTTCTCCGACCCGTATGTGAAGATCTACCTACTGCCAGACAGGAAGAAGAAATTCCAGACCAAGGTAAATCCTCCCCCTCCCCCCCCCTGTGTCCAAACCAAACTCAACCTGTATCCTCGGTTACAAACTGCGATAACTGTGATAACGCCTGTTTTCTCTCTCGCTGTTTCCCGCTTCCTCATGGGAAATCATTACAGTTTCACTTATGTAATCTAATCTAATCTTGGGCATAATTTATTTAAGATAATGTGCTCGGGACTATTACAGAACACCGCTCCTCCGCTCCTGTGTTATTCTGCTGTTTGAGGACAGTTAAGTCAATATTGAGGGTTCATTTCTGGATGTTCTGTCTGAGGAAACTTACCCTTAGCCCTAAAAAAAACCCCAACTCCCTCTTTTATTCCAATTTAGTCTCGGAGGAAAACCTCATGACTTATGAGCTCAGAGGCTTCACAAATGGGAGTTGTACTTCTCTGTGTTTTATCCGTAAATATCACAGGTTTCTTTTTGTTCAGCGCTTGAAATGTCTCCCTTTTGGTTTCCCCCCTCTTTTGTGCGACTGTCTGTTGTATTTCACAAAAAGCCTCTTCGCTCGTTGAAAAGCGTGAATGCTTCAATCATTTGCATAATGCTGCTCCGCTTTTGTTCAGAGTGTAGATGATTGTTTAATTTCAATCACATTCTCATTAACATGGGATTTTTTACAGCACTCCCATTTCCCCCCGCTTTTGTCCCTCCAGCTCATTTCTCTAAAGAGGAACAGATATCACCTACTGGAGAAGATCTCCCTGCCATTTCCGTTTCTATTATTTCCACCAGCCGTGTGTTTTTTTTAAATCCAAAGCTAACAAGTAATCATCAAGTGCTAATAAGCCAGAGTGACAGGCCTGCTCATGCAGCAGCAAAAGTTAGATTTGGAAAAGCGAGTGTGTGTCACATTTTAATTATCCCGGGCTTTATTGCATGACAGAGTTTATATCGAATGCTTTCATGGCAATTAAATCCCGGCAGCAAATCAACAAATAGTCAAAATTCAGTTTCTTTTCTGAGATTGAACGCAAAGAGGTTTTCTATGTGTTCAAATGTGACGAGCAGGAAATTACAGCTCGCTTGCCATCACACTGCGTCCTCTGATTTCAAAATGATCCGTTTTATTTGAATTGTGCAGAGAAAGCAGACGGAGAAGGCTGAAAACACGAGGTGGAATTGCTTTGATCCCCATTGAAATGTGCAAAAAAAAACACAACTAGTGCACCTTGTATGTGTTGTGTAAGGGAAATATATTGAGTTTTGAATTTACTTTATGGTCTTTATTTGATTTCAGCAGGTTTGATATGATTCCCCCCTCCCATAAGAAAAGGTGAAATTCACTTTTTCTCTCCAGGCTGAGGATCAAGGTCAGCGTGTGTGGATCAGGTTGATTATGTTGCTCGAGGACATGTCAGCTGCTACAGCCCGAACACGATTCATCAAAACTCTCCTCATATGTCTTATTTTGTGTGGTTATGCGGATCTGTTTGAAAGCATGACATTTACATGGAATAATGTCAGCACAATTCCATTCATCCTAGAGGCGGTTAAAGCTTTTATATTCAACACAAAGCTCTGGTCGCTGTTCTGTGAGAGAGAAAAAAAAACAGGGAGGCCTTTTATGTTTCTAATTTGTTTTTACATACAAAAGAAAAGATTTGCAGGAGCAGAAAACAGAAAAAGAAAAATTCACTTGGAAAAAGAATTTGTAGAAAAACACAACGGCAATGAAAGCAAATTGCTTCAGATTTGACTAAAAACAGAAAAAGAGAGAGCATCTCTTAGGTTATCTTTTCAGAGTTCATTTCAATTGCATTTGTTTCAGAATAAAATAAAAGAAGCAAGAGAACATCAAACAGTCCTCAGTGTGTTTTCGAAAACTGGTCCATGTTGGTTGGTTAAAGAAATAGAAACTGAGTCTGTAAAGTAGGTAGAAAAATGTACTTTACTTTGCGGTGCATGAAATGTTTTTTTTTCTTCCTGGCAGCAAAAACACGAGAATCTTTGAGGATTCTGGACGCGTCTTCAAAACAGCAAAAGTGTTGTCAAACAAGCTGCTGGGCCTTTTCATATCTGGCTTGAATTTATGTCTGAATAAACCTTGAGTTGTGTCTGTGACTGGAATGCAATCATCAATGCACAAGTCTGAAATGTAAGATACAAATATCTGTGTAGCTACTCAGAATATCTCAATGTGTGCAGGTCTAGAACACACTCTTTGTCGTATTATTTACAGACACCCAACATTAATCCACCATGAGCGCAGCACGTAGCATCATTTAGAAAAAGAAGCAGAAACTGTCCTTTAACAGGCTGAACCAGACCCATGCTAACAGACATCTGGAGACAAACAGAAAAAACAACAGTGACAAAAACAACAACAAATAAGACAGATGTGTGTTTACAACTCCAGTAATAATGAATACGTTTGTGTGGTATTAGCAGGAACAACTCAGTTGTTCATTATACCATTTGGAGTTGAGCAGTCGTAAGATTTACTTTAATAATGATGATAACAATAATGGACGTAAGACTATAATATTAATAGTTGTAACAGTTGGAGTGGAGGGAACATACAGGATAAGGGAGCTCAGGAACCCAGAGAAGATATATAGTGTGTAAAGTATGACATGCAGTTATCGATATGAACGCATACAGAGAGATAGAGAGAGGAGCTAAGTGTTTTCCGGGTCAGTCTGCAGTCTAAGCCTACAGCAGCATAGCTGGTCCGAGCCTGAGCCAGTCCTCACTATAAGCTTCATCCAAAATGTTTTAAAGTTTTAAGTTTTAAGCTGCGACGTAAAAGTAGAGAGGGTGTCTGCCGACTGCACCCAAAAATATGTAATGCATTGACAAAAACATATGGGGTGTCTATACAGAGATGAATAAACATCAATTTGAAAGATTATCAGTTTTGGATGAAGGGGTTACAAAGGTGGGACAAATTGATATGGAAGTAGTTATTGTTTCATTTATTTTTGATTTAAAGGATAATAGGAGAAGAAGCTCCGCCCTCTGTCTCTATGAGATGCCTGTCTGTTCGTTTTAACTCATGATGAAATAAGAGGAAACAAAAATGAGGTTTGGGATTCCATGTTGACTCCGTCTGATGATTAAATCTGATAATCTGATACATTTGAACCTTTATTATCTCTCTTTAGTGAAATGATTTCCTCTGCTTCACACTGTGCTGATCTAATCTCCGGTTTTACACATTCATGCACAAATTAAAAGCTTTTTTTTTTGGTACCTTTCTTTTATGTTTTAATTCTTTGTCATAATCTATTTCTTTGATATCTGTTTCCTCACCATGATATCTTCTCTTTTGATTGTTGAATGCACCTTTTAGAGCAAGAATAATTCCTTCAGTCGTCATTATCTTTGAAACGCTTAAGCAGCTCTACTTTTTGTTTCCGTATGATCAAATCATGATCGATCGTGAATGCAATACACATTCATTCATTCATTTGGTTTCTTGGACTAATGTGTAGAACTATTGATGATTTAATCTATTAAATGTTACTTTTATTAATGTGTCACCGTTGCTGCTGTTGTTGTTGATGTTGAATAGCATGAATTAGTAAATTCAGTACGGGCCTTTACTTTAGGTCATAGTAGTTATCAACCATCCTCACATAGCATTACTTTACACCTAGTACAGAGTAACGTCTGGTACTGTATGTTGGAGGCTAAAGAAAGTAGTCCCTTAAAAACACCTTTTCACCTGATCATTACTAATTCCTGTGTACCCAGCCAGTTAATAATTCATAATTTCCTGCATCTACAAAGCAATGACACTATCATTTGTAGAGTGTAATGCAATAGTAGATGCTGACTGTCTCTCTCTCTCTCTCTCTCTCTCTCTCTCTCTCTCTCTCTCTCTCTCTCTCTCTCAGGTTCACAGAAAGACCTTAAATCCTGTGTTCAACGAGACGTTTCAGTTCGGCGTGCCGCTGAATGAGCTACATTCCAGGAAGCTGCATTTCTCTGTGTACGACTTCGACCGCTTCTCCAGACACGACCTGATCGGCCAGGTCGTGGTGGACAACCTGCTGGACTTCAGCGAGGGCAGCGGGGACAAACCCGTGTGGAGGGATATCGTGGAGGGCACAGCGGTAATGATGAAAGCACATGCGTTTCACTTTAGATGTTATTGTTCCCACAATGGAAGATTCTTCTTCCCAACACTGTACAGGTTAGACAACGATCAGCACATAGTAACAACACAGGGGAGGAAAAAACAGCTTACATAGTACAGTACACAACACTCAAAATACACACGGCTGATTCAACGAGGCCTGCTGTTATTCAGAGGAGATGGCTTCCATAGATTATTCTAGATTAGATCTGAATGAGCCTCTGGACAATATTTGGGTTGTTGCAGCAGGAAATGATGGGCCAAAGGAGAGAACTAGAGACAGGAAGAGAGCATATCAGACAAGACACAAGTGACTGATTCTGGACTAACTTGTTCAACAGTTTGAATCTGAAAGCAGGCCACAGTGATTTCTTCTAAGGAATGGTTTAAGCAACTGAATGAAGAAATACATTCATTACTAAGGACTGAAATGGAAAAAGAAAAAGTACTTTTAAAGTGAAACTAAAATATGAATACTAATCTAAATCAACGTATCTTGCGGAAATATCTGACTTTGAACAGAATGTACTGAATTGATCTGTTTTCCTATTCCTTTCTACGGCGTTGGTTTGCACTCCTAGATTTCGAAAATGCAATTGTTCAATATTGAAAGAGATGAATTCTTTTTCTGTAATCCGGTTTTATTCATCTATCTATCGCTCGGATTTGAATCGGTGACATTCTTGAATTCAAATGGAAAAATTCAAACAGGCAACCGAGGAAGATCAAATCAACCTTCAAGAAAATCAGCCACACGTCTGAATGATTCAGATTAGCAGATGGAAACTGGAAAGTTGAGTTTGAACTTAAAATGACCGTCTGTAAAATGCAGAAATTGGAATTCAAACCGTAGAAATTCAGATAAATTGGTTTAAAGAAAATGTTGCACTTCCTTCATTTGAATTGTGTTTCATTACTTTTGTTACGGTTGATATTTCTTGTTCCTTCATGATTGTAATAATTACCATCTATCTCTACTTCCATACATCTCAGAGAAGCATGTGCCTCGCAGTTTGTTGTTTAAAGATCTTGCGCTCACATTGTTTTAAGAATGCACGGAACATCTGCGGCTCTGGAAATGTCTCTGCAGTCCAGATGGATTCAGAATGCCTTAATGTCAAAATGCAGCAGACGAGAGTCCGGATAGATTACTGGAAGGGCACCGCTGCTCACATCCAAACTTTTTCATTACGCTATGTCCAAGTAGATTTATATGAAATATTCATAGAGGGCTATTAGCAAATTAGACGGAGCAAAGTCTTCAAAAAATTTGGCATGGATTTTTCATTTATTAAATAAGTTTAAAGCATTAGCCTCTTGGCATTATTTCACTGTTTCTACTTGGGGACATATTGATTAGTGAGGCTCAGAGGCAGTAAGGGAGTCATCAGACCACAGTGTGACCTGAATACCAGCGGTGTCATTACTGAGGAGACCACAGGCAGAGAGAAGATCAGTGCATGGGGAGATAAAGAATCCCCTGAGAATCATCACCTCTTCTTAACACTTTCCGCCACTGTGAGACACAGACAGATTGGCGTATGATTCATTTACTGTGACGGCACTTCCCCTGCGCCTAAACACTCTGCCTGTCCACATTAGGAACGTGTGCTGTCACCGCCGTCACTCACAGATGTAGCTCTTTTTTTCGTCCTCAGACCGTCAAACCAGAGGATATCTGTCTGTGAGTGTTTTTCCTGTTTGACTCGCAGCCGTCCAGCTCTGTTCCTGATCCCTTTCTGTGTGTGTGTGTGTGTGTGTGTGTGTGTGTGTGTGTGTGTGTGTGTGTGTGTGTGTGTGTGTGTGTGTGTGTGTGTGTGTGTGTGTGTGTGTGTGTGTGTGTGTGTGTGTGTGTGTGTGTGTGTGTTTGTGTGTGTTTGACCCACAGGAGAAGGCTGATTTGGGGGAGCTTAATTTCTCGCTGTGTTACCTGCCCACTGCTGGCAGGCTCACTGCGACAGTCATCAAGGCCACCAACCTCAAAGCCATGGACCTCACCGGCTTCTCAGGTAAAGGATTAACACACACACACACACACGAGCACATGCACACATCCTACTCATATGACAAAAAAACAGCTACAAGCGCTGTATGTTGTTATTTCAGGTTTATATTTTATCCTCGTTGATGACCATTCAATCACTCAGAATTATAAACGTCTATTTTCAAATCTAAAAAATGAACAGAGTCACTTCAATGCCATGGGTCACAGAATAAGAAGCAACGTTTCTCCATCAACAGCCGCCTCAATTTATCACAATGCAATTGTGATATTGTATGCAGTGCATTGTTTGCCTCTCATTATCATTTTTGTTGCGTCGTCCTGCGAGCAAAAGTGACACGTTTTTTGCACAAATATTTGGCAGAAACACATTTTTCAGAACCTAATAAATCACTGACATTGAACTTGTTGGAGCATAAAGTGAAAAAACAAGTAAATAAATAACCATTCATCTTTGCTAAATAATTCCTGGAGTTCATCAGGCAGATTGATTGCGTCTTGCTCTGTTAGAGAATCCGAGGGTAGATTTTTTTTTTTCCCCTTTCAGGAAGTTGATTTTTAAGTTTATACATTATAAATATATATCCCGAAGCTACAAAGTAAAAAAAAAAAAAAAATGTTGCAATGCGTTTCTTACAAAGTAAGCTGCAAGGTGTAGCAGAAGTTTCCCCGCTCACACTGATATCCAGAGATGAGAGACTGCCAACGCTCAAATCAAATCCTTCAGTTAAAGACCTGATGAGAAACGTTACGCCCCCTCAGATTAAATGAGATCTCAAGTGGTAATAACCACCTGCCATTTTTATTGCCACACTGACTTTAAGATGATTGCATTGCTGGAAAGATGCTTAAAAATGCAGCATGAAAATGGAGAGTGTGTGTCTGTGTGTGTTTTCCCTGGCGGCTGTCATCTTGTTGCACATGTTGAATGGATAACTGAATTGATTCAACCTGTGCTGCTTTTCTCCCTTTGTGTTCTTAATCCAGCTTTGCCAAGGTGACTTGATTTTCACGCCTTTTATGTGTTTCAGACGAGAATACCTGTGAGCAATTCTACCTCGCAGCATTCGCAAGACTCTAATATTTGTCTCTTTTCTCACTCCCCCCCCCTTTTCCCTTTCTCTGTATCCTCCCCTGCTTCTCTGCCTTCACCTGTTTCTCCATCCCTCCTGCGTTCTTTGTTCTCCTCGTTCTCCTTTTTCTCTCCTTCAGACCCGTACGTGAAGGCGTCTCTGATCTGTGACGGGCGGAGGCTAAAAAAGAGGAAGACATCCATTAAGAAGAATACGCTGAACCCCACATACAACGAGGCGCTGGTGTTTGACATTCCAAATGAAAACATAGAAAGTGTCTCCATTATCATCGCAGTGATGGACTATGACTGGTGAGCAGGCCGAGGTGTTGTTATGGGGTTGATAAAACTGATGATTGCTGTGAAGCGTTGCTGACTGCTTGCACGTGCGGTGTGGTGTTTGCTGTCACATTACCGACGGTGTTGTGGCTGTGTTGAACACGACGAGGACCCCTGTCCTGGTGGAGGCTCCCCTGTTTTACACTGACAGGCAGGCACCTCATGAATAAACATGATTTATGCAAATGGAAGAAAAAGAAGTGTAAACCCGACAGTATTTGTCTGTTTGCTGCTCGCAGCAACACTTGGCCGATTGACGTGTTTGTCTATAGGTGCACCGCCTCCCTATTATGTAGTCTGCCCTCCATTTGGCATCTCCATAGGTGTGTGCTTTTGTATGTATTTGCTTGTGCCCGCTTCTGCGCTGACATCACGCCTTTTATGCAGGCCTGTGTGTATTTGTGTGAGCTGCTATTCAATATCCTTCCTCAGCCGCTTTACTCTTTTCCCAGTCCTCAAGGTTGATAAATGAGATTCTCTCTGCCTGTTACTTACAAGCCCTGTCTCCCTCTCTCTCTTTCTCTCCCTGCTTTAATACATCCTCGCTCTCTTTCTCTCTCTCTCTCTCTCTCTCTCTCTCCACCCCTTCTTTCTCTCTATCTCTCCACCCCTTCTCTCTCTCTCTCTCTCTCTCTCTATCTCTCCCTCACGTCCCTGCCTCCATCCATTGCTGCGCGTCAGTATCGGTCATAATGAGGTCATAGGGATGTGTCGTGTGGGCAGCGAGGCTGAAGGTCCAGGGAGGGAGCACTGGGCAGCAATGCTGGCCAATCCACGCAAACCAATAGAGCACTGGCATCAGCTCGTGGAGGTAATGAGCGTATGATCACGTGTGTTCATGTGTGTGAGCATGACTTTGTGTGTAACTGTGTACCCATATGTCGCCAGCTTATCTTTTTGCCACATACGTAATGTTGAGTTCTTCGGTCAGGGGCTGATAACCAAAAAGATTTTTATCACATAAGGATTATCATAATCACTAGAAGTAGTAGGAGCAGTGAAACTGAAAGATGTGCTGTAGTACTTGAGATAGCAGTACAGAAGTAATGGTACAGTACCATTAAAGGGATATTTTTGGAAAGGTTATCTCACAATTGTATTTTTTAATATTTAAAAGTTTAAAAGGTTCCATTATGAGTTACAGGCTGACATCCATTACAAAACTTAAGTGGCAAAATGTGGCAAATGATCACAATTAAATTAGCTAAATAATCAAAAGGGTCATTATGTGGAACAAATTTTAATTACTTCATATATTGTTGATTAATCAATGAATGGCAGTGCGTCATATTTTTAACACTAATTATACTTTCTGAATAAATCAAAAAAAAAAAAACTAAAGCTGTATTGGAGTTTAACATTTGAGTATAAACAAATTATTAATCCTAATGTAGTATGTGTGAAAGAATTCTCTTGTTCTCAGTTCATAGTGATTACTTCTCTTGACCACTCGCATATCTGTAAAAGACATGAAGCTCTCTGTGTGTGTGTGTGTGCAAATTAGACCAAAAGTCTATGATGTGTTTATTATGTAAGCTCTGAAAGTCTTTATTCTTGGCTAAGCTAACCAGCTGCTGGCTGTAAGTCACCTCAACATGTCTTTCTATGTAGAAAAGAGAATGGTGTCCATTCTTTAACCTATTCTCAGGAAAAATGTTTATAAGCATATTTCCCCATTTTTTTGTGGAACAGTTCTCCGTTGCGCGAGCTAGGTGGAAATTCAAAAACAGAGACTGAAAAATGAACCCTACCTTAGAGCTAAGATATGACCATGCTCATAGTGTTGGCTGCTCTGTGAACGCAACACATCAATTTGAAATCCATCCATGTGAGCAGAGACAGTGCTCACGTTCATCTAGGTACCCAGCGTTGCTGAGCACTGTGTCAAGTGAGATGTTGATTAATTTCTCTGTGGATTTAACATACTTTGAAATTCAGGCTACTCAACTCCTCTGAAGTTAAGAAAACACTCAGAAAACTGACAAAATTGAGTACAATTAATTTAACAAGGCTTAAGATGGGATCACAGCGTCTGTGGATAAACAATGTTAAATTGGTTAGCCGAGTGAGGCTGTCATTAGCAGTGCTATAACCGCCAGCCTTTGATCCTTTTTCAAGGTTGACATGCCTGTGCCTATGCTGGTTACGCATTGCTCTGGTCGAGTAGTTACATGCCAGTTTAACTTGACAGAGGCCACGCACAACTTTATCTCCATTTTCTAGATCACAGTGCTGCTAAACCACTCCTGTTGCAAGAAGCCTGCAGTCCACTGTGCTGGTTTACATCAAGGTGGTAGATACTGCTGCATTGCAGTTTACACATAATATTTGACCAGGGTCACTGGCCTGAATTAATACAAATATTTATAATAATTTATACCAACAAGGTATTCTGGTCCCAACTAGCAATTTTTAAAATGTTTAACCCTTTAATCCCCTAATTGCATACATCCCTAGTTTAAAGTCAGCTGTACAACAATTTAAGGAAAATGTATCTACTGGTATTGTTGAAGTCTGTTCTTATGAACATCTGCAGGAGTTTTATGAACAAATCAATACAGATTCCATTGGTAAATATTTCAGTGTTTTATGCAAATTGTGCCTGCTGGGTCTTTAAAAACAAGTCCGAGCGTCGGTCACATCAGCAACGAATTTGAAACTCCACATCAAGTTAAAGTATCCGGCCACTCTTGGGAAATATCTGTAAATAAAAGATGACGATGGAGGCAAACCAGGCTCTACAAAAAAAGGAAAGACTAGCTTGAGGCAGCTTAAGAAAAATTAGATAAATAAACCTTCCTTCGGTCATTTTTGGGATTGTGAACTGTGAACATGAACTAGTCTGATTTTATTCGGTGAGAAATGGCTTTTGAGCTGGCTCTTTTTAAGGCCCAAATGTGCACAGCACTTAAATAGACTTTATTATGAACTATAAATATTACTCTAACTAAGGATAACATAACATCAGTGGTTCATACTCTGCCATATGGAATGATTGCAGTAGATTTAGGTGACAAAGCTAACATCTTAGCATATTGCCTTGTCCAAAGTCATGTCCTTTTTTTCATAATGTGGTGGGTGATTAGCATTAGTTAGTTAGTTAATTTGATCCATTAGCATCCTTGATATTGTTACGTAAAGTGATTAAAGACAATGTGCAAAACAGACCACACTGTGTTAGCTACATGATAAGCATGAAGGGACATTTCCTGTGGACTTGAGAAAAAATGTAAAAGTAAATGTGCTTACTGTAGTTGCTTTCCACCATTTGGGTAAAAGCATTTAGTGACATATATTTAATTAAAATAAATGTATAAGAAGTGTCTCATTTGTCATGAAGAATTAATAGAAGCAAAATCTCTATTTCCCTGCAGGAGAAAGCAATTGGTACATTCGTGTCAAAGACTGCCACAGCATCCTCCCCTAAGCCTCATATCGTCGTGGACAGTCCTCACTCTGATTAAGGCTGTGAGTCTTATTTCTTTGTTATCAACATGCTTATATCTTTGAGAGATTATTTCCTGAACTTTGCATGAGTTTTTGTTCTATTATGAATCGACATACTGTAGAATCCATGTTTCCAGATCACCATGTTCTGCTACCTTAAAGGTTTAAATCATCAGACGGTGCAGCAGATGATCTGCTTTTAGATTTACACTGGAAAACTGGTGGAGTCTTTAAAAGCATGTTTTAACGGAGCGTACGATAAAGTGGAGGCTGTGGAGCTGTCAGATGTAGAAGCTCTAAGGCAGCAGCATCTGTATAATCTAGATGTTATGGGTTATGTAATGCACTCCCCTCCATCTTCAACCCAATCTTACAGTACTGCATACTGTTTATATATTCTCTCACCACCCTACTGTCTCTCTCTCTCTCTCGCTTAATCTGCCCCTTTTTCCTTATTCCCCTCTTTCCTCAGGTCATTATCATCTCCAGCTCCAGATGTCCCCTTCCTCCCTCTCATCTGTGAATAATTCTCTCCATCAAAGACAGAGAGACATGGAGACACTGCTAGTGTCCGACTGCTAGCGCTGTTTTGCTCCCGCTGATGAATCCTCAGAGTCCTGTGCTGTCTTTAATGGAGGAAAGAAAAAAATAAACGACATCCATCACATGCTACACCTTGAGCATCAGACTACACATTAACAAAACACATGCACACGCCAAATGGTAAAGTAGGACTGATATCAGGTGTAAATGTGGGATCAAACAAGGGACACACACACACACACACACACACACACACACACATACACATAAACACAGGGATACACACAAAGTTTGTAGTATGTGCGTAGTTCATGTGTGCTTCAGATTAGTGTAGTATTTCATCTAGGAGGAGTGTGATGTAACAAACTGTTCTCTCTCTATTGAAAACAAAACAAAAAAAGAAAAGAGAAAGCCATCCCAGAATGGTCATTCCAACCAGGACCAAAGGTTCATGCCCTTGTACAGACTATAAAAGAAGAAAATCACTATGTCGATATTTTTCTTTGCAACATTGGTGTACAGTATGTGCCGTACTGTATGGGAAGACATCTCATGTAGTACTCAGCAGGACAAAACATCCGAGGTGGATTCTTTTTTGGCCATTTTGGATGCCTCCTGCGGGCTCCGTACCCTCTTTGTTTAGGACTGAACTTGCTTCTTTTTTTTTTCCCCCCCAGAGGAAAGACGATAAAGCGTCTTTATTGATGTCAGAGGAGCTAAAAAAAAAAAAAAAAATGAGGACGGACTCATTGGTTTAAGCATGTTACGCATCCTTGAAATGTGTCCCTCTTCCTGATGCTTTTCGTCACTGTCCTCATGGTGCTCATCAGTATCAACTTTCTGTTTTGAGGTTATCTTTGAGTTTCCAACATTATACATTTAATCATGGAGAAAGAAGTTTATAATTGCCAATAATGGTCATCTACCGAGCTTTTGAGAGGGGTGGCTGAGTTGATCGTTGTTAAACCTGCAGACTTTTCCTTAAACAGGACTACACAGGTCGAATAAAACCTGCGTTAAGGATCGGACCAGCATCTGTTGGGATTGCACTTGCTGGAGGATGTATTCTACAGGGAAGGACACCTACACTCTATTTTGATTTTTTTTTCTATCATTCCAGATCTTTCTTTTCTTTTTCTCTTTCTCAAAAAGTCACCATCCTGCTTCATCTGAGAAAATGTCCACATCATGTCTCTGACAAGACTCAAGAAGGACACACACGTCTGTGTTGCTTTTATCAGTGTGTGTTATGTCCGTGTTTGTGGGCGTGTTTGTTTTGTATTTGTGCGCGTCTGTGTGTATGTCTGCGTGTATGCCTGTGTGTGTGTGTCACTGAGACCTTGTATGTGACACGTTACCATCTCCCCTCTTGTCCTTTTTTTCCCCGTCTTTGCCTCCCACTCCCACCCCATCCCCGATTCCAGTCCCTGCATCCTCAGACTGTAACGCTTGTCTCAGAGCCAAACGTGTCTTCTGTCCCGTGTATTTACAAGGAGCCACTTTGTGTGTGTGTGTGTGTGTGTGTGTGTGTGTGTGTGTGTGTGTGTGTGTGTGTGTGTGTGTGTGTGTGTGTGTGTGTGTGTGTGTGTGTGTGTGTGTGTGTGTGTGTGTGTGTGTGTGTGTGTGTGCACTATACGTGCCTCATTGCACTAGGTGGGGAAACGCTGTCTTTCATAGACATTAGTTTGTACTGTCTATGTCGTCTCTGAAATCAGCTGCCAATCATCCAGCCCTCCTCCTCCTCCTCCTCCTCCTCTCTTACCCATTGCCTGATGTAAGTAACTGTGTTGATCGTGTACTTCTTTCAGTAATTTGTGTACTGTATGTCCGAGGGAAAAACAGATGGCACAGTGACTGAAAACCAAACTCTTGGGTGTGTTTTAAATTCAATTTCTAAGAAGGAACCCAAAAAAAAAAATATGGAGAAAAAAAACAAAACAAAATTTGAAGCTCATTTCTTATCAGGACAAATTTAGATCCCCCTTAGAGCAAGACAGCAGGGAGGAGGTGTTGCGAGAAAAACAAGCGCCTGGAATTTCTGCACTTCCTCTGTAAGCCGATACAGATTTATAAAGCCATGTCTGTCACCACTACTACGACTACCACTACTGTAACCTCAGCAAAACAGCAGAACAACACCTCACTACATTTACTCGTATTGCTATTGTTGCCATTTCTATCTCCTCACACACACACACACACATGCTTATATAAAGGTGTGTGTGTGTGTGTGTGTTTCAGGGAAGGGATCTAGTTTCTGACTTTTCACCTTTGGATCATGAAAGTGCATTTAGACTTTAAGGTGTGTTTGATGGAGGATAAAGCAGGTTAAACATCCTGCATTTTGTGAGCTTCATAAGATAAGGGGCATATTTACAGAGAGGCAATTTTCCTCTGATGTCCCGCTCAGGGTGGTTAGCTCACACACTGGTATAATCTCAAACCGATGTGTTCCATGTTGTAAGCCATAAATATGCAGGCCATCTGGACAGTGGGCTATATTTCATAACTCCTAGCTACTGTTTCCAAACGGCTTATGCTAGTACAACCAAATTCGGGGTAATATTTGAAAGGAAGTGGTTGTAAATTCATAACTTATATTGGCTAACATTAGTGTTGTTCCAAACAAAACATTACATAGTTCTTGGCTATAACTACTTGGGTAACTGTCTGGCCAACATTATGTTAACAACACATCAGGTAACATTTCTTTAGCTAGCGGTTAACTCCTGAGTAAACATTATGTTAGCATTTCAGTCGCTAGAAATTCACTCCTTTCCTAAAGTTTTGTGTAAGCCTACAAACCAGTAATATTGGCTTTAAGCTAATGTAATCAATCTACATCCTCACACACAGAAGAACAACTCTATAACAGTATTTTAGCTTCTCACAGTGAGCACGATGTCAGAGGAAAATGGCCGCTATGTGAATATGGTCAATTGAGTGAATTTAGTACGTATAGTATTGATCCATTGGTCTTGAGGCCTTGTAACTGTCTCTCTCTGCTTGTGTCTGCCTTATTTAGCCCCCGTGTTACTGCCTGGTGATGGATTACAAAACTCAAAGTCGAAGCAGTACATTTCCTTGTTCCTTTCCTCCCTCAGTCCTTTCCTTCTCTCTCTCTGTTACTGCCTGATTACTCATTCTCTCCTTCACCAACTCTTACCTTTCCTCCCCCCACCTATACCCTGTCTCCCCCTCACCTATCTGTTCCTCTCTCTTTTTCTCTCCCTGTTTCCTTTGCTATCTCCCATCGCTTCCTTCCAGTCCCCTCGCCCTCTTTCTGTCTGCGTATGACGACCCCCTTTCCCCCGTCTCTATTCTCTCTCGCTGTCTTCTCGTGTTAGTGCAGTTCTGAATGGTCATGGGGAAACATGTTTGCATGCTTATATTAACATGAATGATGTCAACTTGATGCAATGAAAAATTATATAAGTGATGCTTTAAGCAAAAATCTGACAATGAACTTGATACTAATACTACTAACGACGACTACATGGAGACCTAGCAATTGTTTATCTCTATGGTCAAAAACAACGATGATGAAATAACATTGTTTATGCTGTATTTATCTTTCTTGAATCGGTATTCTTTTCAATTGCTTTTTTATATATAATTTATTCAAGAGGTTTACTTTTTTATTGGTTAAAGCTGAGAATTTGTGTGAGGGGTTCAGTCAGGACAGCAGGATATCGGTGAATGTGTAAGTAACAGTGTGGCTGAAGCAGTGATAAAGGAAATAAAGGATATGTATCATCCAGCTTTGTGTTTCTCACTTCTTTTAATCCAGCGCGTTGGGAGCGAGAAGAGGTGCTGAAGCTACTGTCACACATCTCAGGCAGAGCGCTAAATATAAAGTGCAGAGCCCTGGGCATTTCAGATGTACACAGTCTATATTTAACCCAGGCATGGAAGGTAAGACACTTTACCTGGACAGAAGCAGCCTGAACTTTCGGTTTTTTTTCCCCCATCACCAACCTCTCAGAGTTTCTGCTGTGCATTAAGTCGTGTGTAATTATTCAGCCACTTTGTCATGAATTCTTTATTGTGGCCACGTTTTCCCTAAATGCAAAGTGGAGCACGGCTGCCTGCCCTCCTGTGTGTACTTCTGTCCATCTGGCCTGCCTGATTCTATTCAGTCCCCCTTTTTATATTTAAAAATGCTCATATTAATTGTCATGTGCTTATTATCTTGTGTGAGAGTGCAGCTGCACGACACTGGTATAGCAATCAGAAAACTCCAGTGCTTCAGCACGGAGCAGAGGTAGGAGGGAGGCCGAGCTCAGATGTGCAGGGCAATGACAGAGAAGGAGGAGTAGGAGAGGATTAAACAGACGAAGGAGGATGAAGAGCGGGAGAATGCCAGTGAGGAGGAGGAGGAGGAAGAAACGGAGGAGGAGGACACGAATGGGAAAAAACCTGGAAAAGAGAGGGGATACAGTAGCTGCATGCAGGATATGTATGTAGAGAAACAGAAGGTGGAGGAGGATGACTCCGTATATAGACACACTCATCATGGGGCACCTGCAGCATACTGACAGCGGTAACAGTTCAACAAGAGCAAAATGAACACACACACACACACACACACACACACACTCACACACGTGACAACGCACCAGTTAGCACAGCTTAAACGCTGTAGACTGTTGCAAAAGAAAAGTAGGAGGAGGGGCTGGGGGGGGGCTGTTGTCTCCATGGCAACGTTCCCACAGTGCAAAAAAAAAAAAAATCATTTAGTCGGAAAGACATTTCACTCAGTTCAGTGAGCTGAAAGAGGCAGAGAGGGAGGGGGAGCAAGTTAGTGACTGGGGGAGGTATGTGCAATATAGAGCTGTTTGTATCACACTGGAGGGATTTAGCTTAAGTAAGCTGACAGCAACACATTAGCTCTTATAGCTAATATATCTAGTTATTAAACATAATTATAATGAATTCTCTCACATGATTAAAGATGTATGCAATAGATTCGTGTGCTATTACAGTTTCCTTTGTGGGACCTTTTGTCGGTACTTATGTCATATTTTTAAATTTGCCATTAGGGTACTTCCATCTACAAAACCTTGCGTGACCATCACTTCTAACTTTTGTTTTCTTATCCTGAAAGCAGTGAGCGGGACCACTTATTATGCTACGTACACAGTTTTTTAACTACACTATAAATAATACCCCAAACCTTTCAAAAATAATGAATTCAATGAATGCATGCAAGTGGAAACCTCAAACAGCGGGAGTATTAAAGTAGCTTGGCTCTGCAGGGGGAGAGTGTATTAAAACAGGAGCTGGGCTCCAGGACCTGACCTTCTCTTTAAATTGCTCTCAAGGAAGAACTTAATGATATTCACCTTACAAAAGGAAACTTCTGTGAAAATTCTTTTGACATTATTTCTCTGTCATCACGACTTCAAATCAGGAACACTAAAGAGTTTGGCTGACTGTGGCTTTCTTTACCAAATGAGTAAAATGGAACCATGAAGTGGAAGGAAAAAGTCGTAACATCTCCAGCACAGCACATGCCTCAATAAAGAAATTCCCCCAGAGACTGTCAGGGTACTATCACAGCATCCCAAATACTCTGGGTAGCTCTGGTAGCCCATTTGTGTGGATGTCAGTGTATCAGCACGCTGGCTGTGATTACCTGTTGTGAACAGACCATCTGGCCCTCAGCGTCCCAGCTGGGTACCACGGTCAGGAGACGGATTGTCTTTATTGAACCACCTGGACCTCGCAGACAAAAAGCACCCAGGGACCCAGCATATTTCTCATTCATATTTTATTATATAATTCTCTGACCAAACAAAAAACAAAATGGAAAAAGGAAAACACTGTCAACTTTTTTCCAAAGGCAAACCCCGAAGAGCAGCCTTCCTGTAATTGCTTGGCAACCACTGGCACCGTGTGTGTTGAAGTTCAAAGCAGCGAGACGCACCATATATCCCTCTGAGCCGCAAAAAGCTTCAGAGTTGCAAAGTAAAAGGGTGCCTACGCATTCACATTCTCACACACATTCACAATCTGGTCTGTCAGTTTAATTTGACCACGTTGCTCAGTCAGAATCAAAAGCTCTGTCAGCGGGGTTTATTATTTGCATCTGAGGGGCTGCCTCAGGCAAAATTCCTCCCCCAGATGAACTTTTCTTGGGTCACCGGAAGTGGCTCTGTTCTCTGGTGCCAAAATGGAAAAGCCGCTTGAGCCTACAGCTTCTTGCCCTCCCCAGAATTTGGGTTAAATTGATATGGAGCATTTATTCTGTGGGAGGTTTTGAGTTTGATGAGCTGTGAAGCCCTTCACTGAACGCTGCGCTGAGCTGCCTGGCTGGCAGGGCCACAGGGGACTAGATGCTATTGTTGGACCCACAGAAACAAGTGCTGCTATGTGCTACAAGTACAGGTTAGCCACTGGAGTATTGCGCGGATCTGACAGCAGGAGAGGATGCTGATGGCTAGTGTGGTAATTAATATGATGTTGTTTTCCCCTCTGAGGTTATGGAGGGGAGAAAATACAGGAAACACAAGGACAAGCTAAAGTTAATAGCCAGGTTCAGTGACTGAATTATGAAGTCACAAGTGTTTTACATGCATTTAAAGGTTGTTAAGTTAATGAATAGAAGAGACATTTTCGAATGAAAGAGACGGCTGTATATGATGTCCATTACCCCGGGAGCTTTTCCTTTATGTGACTTTGCTCAGTCTAAATAAAGGACCACACTTACTATATATAGACTGAAGTCCCTTCATGTTTCAATCTGTACCCTTGTCTCTGATAAGGCCGGACAACTACTGTACTTACTGTAGAGATCTGCTGACATCTCCTGGAGACATGCTTTAACAGCACTTACAAATCTGCAGTGATGTTGCAGAAAGCTCTTTTTTTTTCAATGTAAAAGAAAACTATTTTCTCTGACAGACTTTTACCTTTGATAGATTTGTCTGAAACAAACCCTATGTTTATAGAGGGAAGGATTATTGCAGATATCCTTTATACCATTTTTTTCCAACTCATATTGGCTGACTGCTGATGCCTATTTTGATTAATTCAATTTATGTTCACCTAATTGTTAAGACCATCAACTCTGTCAAGTTTCTTTCCTAAAGTATAGTTTTTTGTCTTCACGTCTTTAAGTGTCCTTATTTTACTTTTCATGAACAGCACTGAGTTTTATGACAGCGCAGTTACACTAAGAGACCTTCGGTAGGCACCAAAGACCTCCAATAATGGCCACCTAGCATGTTTTCATCATGGATTCTAAAAAAAACGTGTCCCTTGTCTGACCTTTGAATGTCTCAGACATCGCCTCACTTTTTGTTGTGGGTCGATATTCTGCGAGGGGGAGGGGCCTAGCACGTCTTGTAGCTGCTGCTGTCCACTTAATAACAGAATATGTTCAGTATTATGATTAAACTTTCTTTAAACTTCAATCCAGATGGAGGCAGAACAGTATTAGCTCCAGGGTTACATCAGTCTAATTGATCTTTGCAAGACAAATTGGAATATCATTTTGCGCTGATCAGCAGTACAAAAACACCGTCATTATAATTTTGTTATTGTAATCAATGGTTGTGTTTTTTTTTTTTTTTTAGTAACAGTCAGGGTTAAAGGAAGTCTTGAATAGATTTTAAATTCCACAATAAAAGAATGAACTCTGTTGCCCAGTTGCTTTGTCTTGTTTTGTGACACAAAAGTGCAGGCCATTCCATCTTGTAATATGATAAAAGCCTTAATTTCTCCTGAAATGGATATAGGTTACATCTTCAGTGTTTTTTTTTTTTTTTATGGCAATCAAGCTGATAAAAGATTTTCACAAAATAGTCCTAACATCTCTGAATTCACCCTAGACAGAAGGTCATCTAGGACATGTGTATGACAAAACCTAATCTGGATCAGAATTTGTTTCTTATGCACCACACATCTGGATCGTGCTCTTTGAAGGTTTAAACCCTTTTGGTTCGGTTACATGATACAATAATTAACTGAGACAAGAAAGTTTTATTTCGCACACTTTCCCAGAAAACTTAAGGTCTGATTTGTAATTTTGCAATTTAAACTTACAAGCGAAAAGTCAAATAACTTGCTTTTATGTTGAGATAACAGTCTAAAGGAGATACAAATGACATATTTTAATGTTTGGTGTACTTACTTAAAACAATGACAGACTTTGATATAAATACCTTTTGAATTTCTGTTTCAATTTTCAATTTCCGCCTTAACTACATGTGTGTTTAAGTGTGAAAAATTGAAAAATTGAAAATGGTATTGATAAAAACGTTGCATAATTGAAACTAATAACTATCTGTGAACATCCTTTCCAAATTTGGTGAAATTCTGACTCTGATTCCAGAAGATACATGTGATGAGGCTAGAGCTGTCCCTTTTGAAGAAGCCCTAATTTGACCTATTTTCGTGTTTTTTGGTAAATGCATAAAACATCCCAAAAAAAAAGTTATTTTGCAGTAAAATATTTTTAAACAACAATCCGTTTCATAAACTAGACATGTTCAAGTTATGAAAAAATATGGTTATTCTACCTCGTGTAGGGGTATCTCAACTTTTAAGGGCCCCCTAAACTATTAGTTTAGTGCGTCTGTGGTGAAAACCGAGCGCTGCTGTTCAAGACTTAGAACTGCACATCTTGTACGCACAAGCGGAAGAGACGAAGAAGATTGCTCCTACGTCACCAGTCGTGGGCGTGTCCAAACGTCACTTCCGTCAAAAATACAACAAACGATAAATCCGGCAATGCTCTGCGTGCTCTGCTAAATCGGGCATTTCGATGTTATAACTGTGTTAAACTCATCCCAAGATTCGACTGGCACCCTTATCCCTCCAGGTCAGTCCGCATCCCTTCACAGCGTGATGGCTGCTGGCTAGTTAAGCCTTTTTTTTCCCGCCCCCCTCACTGTTTTAGCTCTTTCGTTTACTGACGTTTAGCTGTTCCGCTAGCTAACACTGGATTATTTGAAAGATAAGCATGAAAGTTGACCGGGAGGACTGTGTTGTCTTTCGTTTTCACGACTTCTGGTCTCTCCGCGAAACTGAAAGAAGCTATTATTACCCGTAAACGACGATGTATTGGTCTGGTTAATTTACAGCCGGGTTAGCCAGCAGAGTATTTTCACTTTCATACATTATTATTTCTTTCTTTCTTTTGGGTTCAGTAGAAATTGAAGTTAGAAACTAGTAGGCTTAATTTGAGTGAAACTTCAGTTATTAATGGTATTTCTTTCTGGATGACAACAACTGAAGAAAAATGACAAACACACCATCTGTTATTCATTTTACAATCAATCCTCTGCATGTACACTTACTCTTTGGTAGGAGATTGTTACACATGACTTCTTAGACATCAAATATTCATCTTTGCTGTATTTAACTCCTAATAATAAATTAATGGATGTCTAAGAGGATGATACAGATATTCTAGTTGCAGATTTTCCCCATGCATTAAGCAGTATCGAGTATTTGAATGAGTTGCATATATCATTATCAAACTGTATTGTGGACTCATGTTTTTCTTTGTATGGGTGGGATATGTAAGTGTTGTGTGTTTGTGTGTATGCTGGCTGCTGGAACACCTAAATTTCCCTGCTGGGATGAATAAAGTATATCGTATCTTTTATCTTTCTTAAAGTAGTCCCATCTTATGTTGTATGTCTGATGTTTGAGAACTATACAGGTCCTAGTTTCAGGAAATGCCTGTGGTGGATTATTCTGCAATAAAGAAAGGCTGCTAGTTTCTGCAAGTTTGATTAAGCAATTTCAAACAGGTTCTAAATATAAAGAGATCTGCAGCCTCCAAATCCCCCCCCCCCCCACAAAACACCTTTCTGTCTTTTCTTCTTATACACGGATGAGCGGTTACTCGGGGCAGCTTTTTATGGTTTCATCACCGCAGTTCCCTGGCTCCTCTGAAACACTTAATTCGTAATATGTCCTGGTCACAATAATCTCTTAGAGTGGTTTTTCCCTCACACGCCAGGGTTTTTATATGTTGTTGCTAAACCACAAGTTAGTGCAAAAAAAAAAAAAAAAAGAAGTCAAATCTGTCCTCTTGTTGTGCAGACTCTTGGTGGCAGGTTCGTCACTCATGGAGCCCTCCACCAAGCCTGGAAACAACCAGGTGGCTGATGTGGTGTTCGTCATCGAGGGGACGGCAAATCTTGGACCCTACTTTGAATCTCTGAGAAAAAATTACATCCTACCAGCAATCGAGTAAGAGGACAGAGTCACTCCCTGTTGCTGTTGTAGCTTTGGTCTTTATGCCATCGTGTCTAAATTCCATTTATTTTGTTGATCACAGATATTTCAATGGAGGGCCTCCAGCAGAAACAGATTTTGGTGGAGATGTGAGTGTTTCCCTCTCTTTTTAATATTTTTTTTGTCTGTTGATTTCATTATGTTGAAAAAGCATTTGTACATGTTGATGAACATGAGTGTGTTTCTTTGTGTTGTAGTATGGAGGAACGCAGTACGGCTTGGTGGTGTTCAACACAGTGGATTGTGCTCCAGAGTCGTACGTCCAGTGTCACGCGCCAACAAGCTCTGCCTACGAGTTTGTGTCGTGGATCGACAGCATCCAGTAAGGGACTCGTACCGCAAAGTTTTCACTCTAATCATGCTAATTTTTTCATTCTAGCAGAAGTAAGCACGCCATGTGAAGTTGAAAATGTTGAACTTCCCTGTCCTTTTGTCCCTCTCAGGTTCATGGGAGGTGGAGCAGAAAGCTGTAGTCTTATAGCAGAGGGACTCTCTGTGGCCCTGCAGCTCTTTGACGACTTTAAGAAGATGAGGGAGCAAATGTGAGGAAGTCTTTACGTTTCACACTGCTCTCGAATTCCTTGGAACAGTCCAAATATTATTTTCTATCTATATATATTCTAAGTACAATCTCTCCACACTAACTAACACCAGTCTCCAGAAGAATATAATCTTGGGTGTTAACAAATTAGGCAGTAAGAGCAACACAACCTTTTTAAATTAATAGATCGTTGTCATTATTTTGCTTGATAAGGGCTGACCCTGCAAAATGTTGCCTTAGTGTTAGATGTCAGTCTAAGGAAAAAAAAAAAAAAAAAGGAGGAGTAAACGGATGTGGGCTTTTCTAAGTAGTAACTCAACAAGGACAAAGTTTCACCCTTTTTGCTTTCTGTCTTCCTTCCTTGCCAGAGGTCAAACCCACAAGGTGTGTGTGCTGCTGTGTAACTCTCCTCCTTACCTGCTTCCTGCTGTGGAGAGCGTCACCTACACGGGCTGCACAGCAGACAACCTGGTTAAAATCATCAGAGATGTGAGTGATCACCCAAACTGCACTTCATGGTTCTATATGCTTAACAACAACAACAAAGAGTTAGAAATGTGTTATGGATTGGTTATTTTAGGGAATGTATCTATTTTAATTTAATCGTTTGGTAAATAAAATGTAAAACTGTCCGTTTAATCAATTTCTTCCCCTATTTTTTTTTTTAGAGAGGAATTAATTTCTCTGTGGTCGCCCCTCGCAAACTGCCCGCTCTGAGGTCTTTATTTGAACGGGCGTCTCCAGTGGGAGGTGCTGTTGAACCCCATCCAGACTACAGTCAGGACCCCTTCCACATGGTCCTGGTCAGAGGCATCTCGCTTCCTGGTGAGAACAAACGATTTAACACCTTGTTGGTGTGGGCGCCACCAGTCTGTCCACATCTTTCAACTTTCCTTAGAAGAAACACGAAACTATGTTATGCTTTGAATATCTTTTGAACTAATACATATTTGATTATTTATGTAACATTTCTTCAGCACTTCTTTTTAAACTGTATCTTTCTGTAGGTTCAAAGGTAAAGCTGTTCTTTCCTTCTTTGATATGAATAATGATAATCTCTGTTTTGAAACCATAAAGGTCGCACTAGTAAGTTGATTTAGCGTCCTGATACTTGTCAAGCGTTAAACATTGGACTAAGATCTGTTGCAGAAGGTTTCATATAAACGGTTTAAGATACACATAAATGCAGAATTAGCAAAGACCAAACCATATTTAACAGTGTGAATATTGGACCATATCCTGTCTGTTTAAAGATCAGAGTCAGTAGATAAGAGACATAAGAGAGAAAGGACAGAGGAGTTTTTGTCTTTGCAGGGTGTAGCATTGTAAGCAATTTGTTGTATGTAGAACAATGCAGAGACGCGTACTTTAGTCTCCCAGTTCAAACTGCTGCATCCTAAGCTCCTTATCTCCAGACACACTTTTGATCGGATGTTACACCACGTTTTTTTGGGTGCATTCGTTTGCGCTGAAATCAACACAAGTAAAGCTGGCATAAATGTTATTATCTGTGTCGGCATCTTTTGTGTCTGTGCTTTAACGCTGAAGCTTAAATTGCCTGTGTTTGCTCTGAGCCTCGTCCTCTGATATCAACAGTCTTTTTTTCTTCTGTCAGATTTAGTTTTCATATCATTTTGTGCAGCTCTCAGTAATTACATTCCTTCTGATGTACTTTTAAGACACTCATTGCCAGTTTCACATGTTCAATGCTGCTGGTGATATATATATTAAAAAAAAAAAAAAATCACACAATGGTACTCTAAGAAGATTATGAACCCAGGTTCCTCCTGAGTTGGCTGTGGATTAAATAAAGACCATTTGAGCTGCTCCTAATGGTTCCTCCTACACTTTTTCTTTTTGTGAGTGGGAGGGAATTCCTGGTAAATGTTTCTAATCCTCGACATTTAGAGGAGAACTGTTTAGCTCCTACATTACTTATAGAGCACTCTTAAATTCACATCTCAACACTGTCTGTCTCCAGTTTCCTTAGGTGGAGGTCCTGGGCCGCTCAAACCCGTCCTCCCCCCCTCAGCCTAACAGTCAGCCTCTTGGTGGAGCATCTCAGCCTCCTCCACCCATAAATGCAAACCATCCATACCAGGTAATGGACCACACAGGGCTGAAAGGCTTCCCGGACACCTATTCCTTTCCGTCTGCTTTTGGCTCAAGTTTCACACGGTGGTGTTTCTGTTCCCTCCCTGAATTGTTTTGCCTTTCTTTTAATCTGCTTGCTGACAGAATCCGGCCGCCATGAGTGCTGCTCAGGTGGCTGCACAGATGGCTGTGGAGGCAGCGAACAGCCAGAAGAGTCGCTGTGAGTTACCCTTTCTGTTAGCGAGGCTTTTAGCTGTGGTGTCTTCATGTCTGTTTTCTCTATGTGTGACTATTTGAGCATTTTACAGTGAGGCTTAATGCGCTTTTGTTTCTGGAAAATAATCTACAAAGATTGGTATTTCAGGATCTCAAGATTAATTAAAATGAACCAAAAGTGTATTTTAAGCGTTGTACCTGTACCTGATGGGAGTTTTCCTGTTTTCTTCTTTTTTTTTTTTTTTTAAATCTTTGGACGTGTTCCTGTCCCGCCTCCAGTCCCAGGAATGGTCAGTCAAGGTTCTCCGTTCACAGGCCAGCCAACCATCCCGTCGGTGCCCGGGGTGAAGCTCAATCAGCTCAGCATATCTACGGTCACGACGGGGACTCAGCCCCTGATGCCACAGCAACAAGTTCCTCCCAATCAGCAGCAAGCAGTCCCGCCCCCAGGGCAGCCTGTGCCCAATCAACAGCAGCAGCAGATGCCACCTCAGCAGCAGCAGCCCCTACCAAATCAGCCCACGGTGCCTTCAGCCCAGCCCAACATGGTAAACTTTGAGAGTTCATATTAAAGAGAGAATTTAAAAAAATCAGTTCAGAAAAAAAAAAAGTTATTTCATCATATTGATTAAAATAACATGCATTCCCACTGCCATGAAGAATAACATCAGGAGTTTGGGATGTTGACTATACATTTGTACAAACTGGTGCCACTCCAAGTAGACCTTAGAAACATCAAGAGTTTGAGTCTGTATTTCACTGGCAGCCCGTGAAAGGAGGCCAGTACCAGAGAGCCGCTTCTCACTGCTCCTGTTTTGATCTTCAGTCGCTGCAGGCAAGCTGGGCATGACTGACTTCCTCCCACATACAGAGAGATACAGACATCTAAATGTGAGCTAATAGTAGCACTTACGACAGAATCCAACAGACTAAAACGGATAATTATTTAGATTGATTCAGTGAGAACCAAATTACTAACAAATCTGATGACGGTATTTGATTGTTAACGATTAAGCTTAAAAGACAGCCGACGACAGCCTCTGGTTGGCCAACATGGTTTTGATGTAAAGGCAATTTAAGCCATCTTTTTGAATAATGGGGATTGGATTCTTTTTTATATGTCTTGTATAAGATTCGATCCACTTTGTGCTGCATTCATCCCGACCAACATTTGAAAAAGTAAAAAAGAAAGCTCACAGCACTCAGCTGAGGTCCAGATTTGTTATTCCTACCAGGTTGTAAACGCTATCAGGGTTTGAATCAGGTCAGTATTATCTAATGTAAGTGTCCCCGCTTGTGTTAGGAATCAGAAGAGCCAGGCTTTAATCTGCGCTGCGTAACACCAGCAGCCCAGCGCTCAGTTTGCCGTCTAACACAGTGTCTGATGTCACATATCAAAATGAATTTTAAATGTTTGTGCTACTATCACATCAAAACAGGACCACGCTCCCTTTCCCTAGAAAGTCACTGTGGTTGAAGTCCATGTTGGTTTCCAGCGTACGCGTCATTCATTCACTACTTTCTTTCCCAGCGCAACATCCTTATGTAAAGACTGATACCTCTGAGATATGCAAAATCTAATATTGACTGTAATAGATTTGACAAAGCTTTACAGATTGTAAGAAGGGTTTTTGTATTTTTTTGTGTTTTTTCCCCTCATACATCTGTTTCTAAACTGGTTCTGTTCTGCTCTTACATCTTACAAGTGGCCTACATGTAACACCCTCACTGCTTTTATTTTCTTGACAGGCTGGTGTGTCTGGAGCTCCAGGCAATGCGAATCCCATTGGACAGCCGCAAGGTGTGGCCAATAAGATTGTAGCTTGGACCGGCGTTCTGGAGTGGCAGGAGGTAACATTCAGAATAAAGACCGAGTTTGAATGGATGCAGAGTGGCAGGCACTTTGTAGTGTAAAGCAATGCTGGAAAACACTGTCATAGAAATACAGCTTTTTAGTTGTTAGCGTTTAAACTCTTGAATGCGTCAGCCATTTAGGAGTCAAATCCTGCATTGTGGCTGAGCTTGAAGCTGTCTTAAGTTCAGCGAGGGGCAGAAGTCTGTTAAAGGAAGAGTTTAACATTTTAGGGCATTTACTCAGTATCTATCGTAACGGGAGTGAGAAGAGAACATACCTCTATTATGTCTGTTAGGGGGGAAAAAAAAGGCTACAGCTAGCAGCTAATTAGCTTAGCTTAGCATAACGAACGAAAACAATCAAGAAATTCTTAGCTTCTTCCCAATGGAGATTAACTTTGCATATGAACTCAACTTCCCACAATCCATAACCTTCATGTCAGGAGGCTGTTACTCCCCAGAGTTTCAACTTGTTGCTAGGCAACCGCAAGCTGAAAATATGAATTTAGAAACAACATATCATATTAATTGGTTAGCATTGGGGGGCCGTTATGTAGATTTTATGACCTTCAGCTGGATCACGCTAGCTGTTTCCCATCTCTCCCTGCCCTACTTTAGACTACACTTTAAAAGCTGTTGCATCAAGCCTTCTGTGGTAATCCAGTTATTTTAAGGGTAATAACATTATTTTTTAAACCTCAGTTCTATTTGACATATTTTGGAATCCAAATGACTACAAGTTTACAAATGGCTCCAGTTGATTGCTTTAGCCAGTGGTCATGAAATGGGCTCTGATTGCTGAGATTAATCTTTTTCATATGGAGTAAGGATGTCTTTGAAACCTGTAACATATTTTATATCGCTGTATTATAGCCACTCACTCAAGAAAAAAAACAAAACAATTATCCCTCAGAACACGAAAGTTGCTTTTCCACTGCTGCTCAGGTGACTTTGTTGGTTTCTTTTTATCGTGTCGCACTGTGCAGCACCAGATGAGCCCCTTCGGTGTTCTGTGTTTGGTCAATACAGTCTGGTGGATATAGAACACAGTATTTCAAACTTTAGGCAAGGAAGAGAAGAGTGAAATCCCAAAAGTCAAACTGTTTCACTTAGTTTTGCTCGCCTGATATCTCAGCTCATATCAGTCGTATGTCAGACAGCTGAAATCCAAACCAAACAGCAGAACCTTAAAGAAATAGAATGGTGATCATCACAGCGGTAAGTCTTAATAACCACCTGTCATCGATTGTTGCACAGTAGAATTAATAGCACATCGGTTTAGCGTCATACTGCTATCGGCTTCTCTCAAGGTCAAATCATCGAGTGTACAGTTGTATTGCTAAGTCAGGGAAACACATTGCTAATGACTTAAATGCGACACTCACGAGGCCCCTCAAGTGTTTGTGTTTGTTGGACAGACTTGGATCGATGGCCTCTATCGACTGCAGTCCCATCCTCCCCCCTCTGTTTGTCAAAATTATCTGAGTCGGTTAAATGGACGGGAAAAAGTGTGGGAAGCTCTAAATCATGTCTTGGAGACGAAGAGCATGAAACATTGCTCTTCATCTACCGTTTCCTCCTTCACTGCACTCATTCGCCTTTCAACTCGGGGGTTGCTTTCCACAAAGGTTTTTGATCACTTTTCTTTTCCTCCCTCAAATCCACATCTAAGGTCGATAAATTGGATTGAGTTGTTTGTCTACATCTCAGGATCCTTTTGATTCCCTGCAGTAACAAGCCCTGGAAACAAACGGCCCATTTGTCTTTGAGAAGTCCAACACAATACAATCGTAATGGACAGCACAGGGACTACAGAAGTCCTGACTAATATGTGATTGATTGATCATTGATCCTGTATTGATGCCCTGAAGATGAAGAGGTTTGGTGGTTTCCCTCGAGTGGGATTGCTATATCGATGCACTTAGAAAGACGTTCTTTCTTTCCCTCTCTGTCCTGACATTTCGCTGGTGAAGAGGTTATCTGTAGGTCTTTAAAAGTCCATCTATCGGCCCATTTTTTAATTGCTTGTTGGGGTCAGAGTTGAGAGAAAGGTTGAGCAGGGCACCCCGCCATGTGCTTTTCCTCAGCAGTATTCTCCGACTGCTCAAGGACAGCTGGAAGATGTTAACCCCTCAGCGTGTCGTGGGTCTTCCCCGGTGTCTCCAGCTGTTTAATACCCAGATCACATCTAGAGAGACACAGAGAGGAGGCATCCCCACATGAACCAATCAGCTTCATTTAAAGAGGAATTCCAGTTTGTTTGACTAGTGTGTGTGATCCGTACACTTCCTTGGCCATGGCACGGTTGGAAGAGGTGTGCTTTGGCACAGGACAGTTGCTCATACACGAGTACAAGCACAGGCACAAAAGCGTGAAAAGCCTTCCATTATAGAGAAATCTCAGAGTGTTCTGGCTGCATGTGACTAAAATGACTCAAAATAAGCGACAAATTCAGCGAAGTTGCCGTCTTGTTCTTTGTGTTGTTCTCTGATATGCGGACTCGACCGCTCGTCCCTTTTTCATTTTAATTTTAAAAATGTTCCTGTCATGTAAACTAAGCACGCTTCATCATAACGTTATGTGTTAGTCCTGGAGCAGTGGGAGTGCAGGCCTGTGGGGGAATGAGGGGAGGGGGGGGGGGCAATCGTGCTTCAGCACAGTATGGGGTAACTGGGCCTAGTGTGAGTGTGCGCTTAAAGGTCAGCACCCATTAGACAGGCTGTGATGGCTACAATATGTAGACCTTTGTGGCAAATTCCCCTGTTCAATGGATATCCACTGACGGTGCTTGTTGGGCTAACTATATTGGCCTGTTGTTGGCTCAAAGTGTCTGCCAATGTCCTGACAGTAAGATATTTAGAAACAAATCAGAAACAGTGGTAACGGTAATATTGAAGTATTTTTCCCCCCTGTGCTCCTCTGGGTGTTTTTTTTTAAGCTTAATTTTTTAACAAACTTTTTTTTGTGCGTCTTCCCTTTTCTATCTACATCAACCCCCCCCAGAAGCCTAAAGCCTCTTCCATGGATTCAACAACCAAACTGACGCGCTCCCTGCCATGTCAAGTGCATGTTAACCAAGGAGAAAATCTGTGAGTAGCCAAACACACAGTGAAGACTTTCGATTCTGTAGTGTTTTCTTATTTCAATGCTGTCGATGTTTCTCCCAAACAGAAACACGGACCAGTGGCCGCAGAAGCTCATCATGCAGCTGATTCCACAGCAGCTCCTGGTGAGACTTGAGAGTGTGTGTGTGTGTGTGTGAAATCGTTTTGCTGACTTATGTTTGAATGATGCATTACTAAGTGCCCCGCTCTTTCTGCAGGCAACCTTAGGTCACCTCTTCAGAAACTCCCGAATGGTTCAGTTTCTCTTCACCCACAAAGACATGGAGTCGCTGAAAGGCCTGTACCGCATTATGGCCAATGGTTTTGTGAGTTTTTTGGAGCACTTTATACTTCCTTTGCGCCTCAAAGTGTTTATTCCCTCCATGTCTCCAAACGTATCCATCATTTAGTGCACCTCGATACATTTTCCATGAGTGGCAACAGAGTTCAGGTTCCAGTCGTTTGATTGAAAGTATTTTGTTGCAGTGTTGTGGTGTGGACTCTAGAGGGGGTTCCAGGCCGTACCATTTAGAGATATGTAGTCAATCATGTGTCAGCTCATGATATTTTAAACATGCTTGATCAGTCCAGATATAAACAAGTTTAGTAAAATGATGTAAATCATTTAATGTCATTGATAAAAAGCAGAGGTTTGACTCTATGCAGCCCGGCTGAGCTCTGCCTTTTTTGCCTTAAATAGATTTAGAGCAGTATTTTCTATGCATTCTGTTTATAAAACCAATGTGTCTTGATGGCTAAAATTCCCCCCCCCTCCCCCCTGTTACCCTCCCTGCAGGCCGGCTGCGTCCACTTCCCCCACACCACCTCACCCTGTGAAGTGCGGGTGCTGATGCTGCTCTACTCCTCCAAGAAGAGAATCTTCATGGGCCTCATCCCCAACGACCAGAGCGGATTCGTCAACGGCATCCGGCAGGTCATCACCAACCACAAGCAGGTCCAGCAGCACAGAGCGGTGAGTGGTGGAGGAGGGAGGAGGGAGGAGGTGGGGAAGAGAGGAGAGCTTCAGTGTACATGGGGGGAGGGGGGGTGGGGTGGGGACTAAAAGGAGGTGATAATGAGGAGGCATTATAAAGGAGCACCCGGGAATTGAGGTGTATTGTTTACAGCATTAAGGTGCATTGTTATTGACATTTCATTTAGCGAGCCCAGTATCTTCACAGCAGCCACTAACAGCTCTCGCTCTAGTTGAGGCTAATGGAGCTAGCATTAGCTAAATTCTTGCTGCAACATTAACACTCATTATCTCTGGTTAAGGGAGGGAATTATTGGTGCAAGACAACGCATGCTCTTTCTTGGAATTCCTGCATCCTCCACGCTGTACTTAATGTACTCTTATTAGGTTGAAAAAAAAATATTCCTGCGTTAGCATGCTCTTTCAGTTTGACAGTTTTAAAGCTTGTCTTTATAGATCCAGTGTCCACTTTATGAGTTACACCGTATAAACAATCTAATGCAGTCTGAAACAACGCTCTGCCATAAAGTCTTTCCTATGAAGCCTATAATTTTCTCTTCTAACTCTGTCAGGAGGTGTTAATTAAATTATCTCTTTGCACTAACGTCACACCTTTGTTATGGTGTTGCACTGGACTGCGTTCTATTTACCTCTCGTGTGTGCATAAAGGTAGGATGAAAAAAAAAAAATCCAAAACACCTGACATGAGTAGGAATACAAACAACTTGCCTCCGAAATAAAGATATTGATGGATTGATGGAAGTTTCTGACGATATCACTAAAACATCAACGTGATAAACTTCTAGAAGGTGGAAGTTGTGGCTCAGCTGTTTTATTGAATTTGGGAACACAACACTGGAGTGCTTTGTAAAATTATGTTCTTGTTGTTGTGAAAGAAAAAGACAAGAAGTACACAAGGCATACACATGTAACACAGCAAAACCAAGCAGCAACCTCCAGTCTGGAAAAATGAAGCTGATGAAGCGCAAGTGCAAAACGCTGCAGTTCGTCGAGTGTCCACTTGAGGCTGGCTCCAGGAACACCACTGGCAAAAAAAGATCAGAAATCAACATGTTTACAGCCTGGTACTAAATAGAGCCGTTTTCACATATGCACTCTGGATAATATCTAGATATTTACAGGAGGACTGCTCTGGAGATTCTCCCGACCTAGCCGTTCACATATGCTCCTCACAGCGGGGGACTTTCCCTCTCAGAGGGAGGGGGGTCGGGGGATTTCCTGAGGTAAGACGTGACGTAAATAAACATCGCGGAAGTAGCGGCCGAAGCAACAGAGTCCGCTACACGACGTTATAATGAGAATATTTGCCTTTATGTCAATGCTATGTGTAGTCCAATGGAATGACAACATCCACAAGCGAGTGGAGAACAACATACTGACGAACAGAAAACAGAATGCAGCCGTTTAATTACGTGCACGCAGATCGTAGTGATCGCGTGCAGACACTTTAGGCAGTCACTGTATCTCAACGTCATTCTCTTTCCATTGGCTCCAGTTGAAATCTCCGGAGTATATCCGTTCAGACATCAGCTCACTCGGATATTCTGCGGATAAAATACTAGGGATTTGGCCAGAGAAGCTCCCGGTAAAGTCTGTGCGATAAATGCGGCTGTTTGCGTTCACACATAGCCTAAAGCCCCTCCGGGTAGCCAAATCTCCGGAGTTTTTCAGATTTCCGTATGTGTGAAAAGAGTTCAAGTCTGATTAGGCATTGTCATCACGGGCACACACTGTACGGGGAGTGATTTTTTATAAACGGCTCCGTTTTGATTTTACGAACGATGCCTGTTATCCATAGGTAGGCGCAAAGCTGACGTGATTGACAGTTGAGTGCGAGGTGAGGGTTCGTCAAGAGGCTTAAAACCCGACTCAGCCCCAGCTCTCAGCCTGTCGTTAGGTTGACTGAAAATTTAGGGTGAGACAGCATTTCCAGCATGGCGGCGGCTGCCCATGATCTACGGAGCCCTCTGCTGTATCAGATGGCTGATGTCATTCAGGCTTCGTTCATTAATATTTACAGTCTATAAGCAAAACATACCGGGAAGTTAAACCAGCCACAGAATGAAGTGAGGAAGGGACAATAGATCAAAGACCGGAGTGGACTCTTTAAAAAAATATATATATATGTATAATCTTTGATAAGAGGAGAGACAAGCATTGTCAGTGTTCACCAGACAATTTTTTTTTCATTTATTCACACATATTAATCGGGTAAAAACATAAATGTAACCAGTTATATATGTCATCAGTTCTAAAAGCTCTGGCTCTATTACAGCCTTCTTGTTGTACAGTTCCCCTGCAGTGTAAATGTCGTCCTCACAGTTCTCGTCAGGGTGGAAGAACATCCTTCGAACAAGACATTCAAACTATTAACTCCTCACACACTTCTGTCATGTTTGCTCTCGTTCAAAAATGTGAAAAGTTGTAAGATTCCGCTTCATTATGCCAACCCCCCCCCCCCCCCCCCCCTCCCAGTTGTTCGCTTCCAGTTGTTGAATCTTTCAGCGCCGTCGTTAACATTAGATGACATGCTGTAGGCGCAGCGATGGAGTGGGACAACCTTTAGGGACAGGGTTAGGAAATCAGACGACTTCCCGCCTCTGTGGTGAAGGTGGACCAGTTCTCGCCGCTGAGGTCACAAACAACTTCCTTTGCTCACATGTCATGAAAATTTCACGTTCCCACTCTGTGCTCTTCGTCTCCCCTGGAGACAGGCTGATTTAAAATGTGTCCTCTGGATTAGCCGTCTTTTCCATCACAGGGCTCGGCTCCAGCATGTGCAGCCTGCACGGAGGAAACAATGCTGCATCCAGTCGGAGAGAAAGCACTATGTCGCCATTTAAAATTGAAGCCTGCTGTCAGCCTTACATGACTTAGATTACATTTCTGCTCGCAGTCTGCTCTCATCTGCGGTGATAGCGCTTGTTTGCTCACCCTGCTAATTCCATGTCCTCGCAGAAGAGCGACAGCGCTACATGCGACTCAGAGCGCTGTGTGTATGAGCATCAGGGCATTTAGAGAAGGCAGACATCATGAAATTGTAATGAAGATTCTTTTCTTTTTCCTCCGCCTCTTGTGTATCATCACATGCTGCATTGCTAATAGGGAAGCGCTACAGCAATCTAAATGTAATTAAAATTTCAATTTGGACCAGTAGTTAAGATTTCTCTGTGCAAAGCCCTGGAGTGGCTTTTGTTTGTTCTGTACTGTTCAGCAAGTCAAACAAATGTTTTTCCTAGAAAAGAGCTCTAAATCTTGATGTGGGATTTTTACAAGTTAAGAGGTTAAGGACAAGAAATAAATCATAGACGGGATAAAAGAGAGGGAGAGAGAAAAGCAGGTCCTCTTTTTGCTTCCCCAAAAGACCCCAATCTGTGTCTTTCACTGTTACTCTTAGTCAGAAAACATACCCTGCATTAGCCAAATCCTGCAGTGTTTTTCAGATTCAGCAGGATGGATAAGTGAAGGTGTTTTTCCATCACACTCTAGTTAATAATTTGTGCTTAGCCGAGGGATGGAACACCCTGGTTTCCTCCTTGTCTCTCCCTCAGTGTGGAAACACAGAAGCCGCCACAGCACCTGCAGAGGACTGCTAGCTGCTAACCAGCGTCAAAATGTGCCCTTTCTGAATAGTTACCAGTCTCATACTGTGATTTTCTCCCGTGTCAGGGCTGTCTTTGTGAATCAAATATTACAGAGTTTTAGGGAATATGATGTACAGTAAATGTGGATGATCAGTATCTAGCTAACAGGTGTGTTTCCAACATGTCGCCACCTTTTCCTTTTAACTCTGCTTTAAAAAAAAAAAAAAAAAAAAAAAAGCAGCGGGTGGATACTGTATGTGACTCTTCTTTTTTTTACTCCCCACTTTGCTAACGGCTTTAGTCATCAAGCGTCAGTTTGTTTTAAACCGTGGAATTCAAAATAGCAAACACAGCAGCAGGTGGTGCTTCAAGTGTCATCATGTCCCTGTTTGTTTTCTGCTTTTTTCGTCTGCAGACTCACGAGCAAAGGAAAGCGAGTGTTTGGTTTTCAGCCCGACGCTCTCAAGGTTGTTAACACAGTAAACATCCATTACACGGGCAGAATATGTCGACTGAAGATATAGATAATGGATTCATTTGAACAGTGCAAAAATAGCCAAACGTCAGACTGTGAGCGAAGGGTGAGCCCGCGGTTCAGGTCTTTAAAGCGGGTCTGAATCTTTTAAACGAGAGGTGGTATTTTCCAGAACTATGTGATAAAACCAATCAGAACGCAGAGTGAAAGAGGATCCAAATAGTGTCAACCTGAGGAAGGTAACCGCTTGTTATAAACTCAGACTGCTTAGGCCTGAATGAAGCTTAACTGAACTTGAGAATACTTGTAACCCTGAACAGGAGCGATCGGTTTGTCCCTTATCTCTCGCTTTGAATCCGCTTCTCCATTACGTGTTTCTTTTGATTTCATTTAATTTATTATACAGGAAAGTATAAAAGTAACATTAAGTTACAGTTTAACGGGCCTAACTCAGTTTAAAAAACTGGTTTCCAGCAGGTTCCTGTTCTGCAGAACATGAAACATAAACCACAGCCATGACACCTCAAGACAAATACATTTACAGGACATTAGCATGGGCTAGGCAGATACAGACAAATAGAAACAAACAGTACAGATACTGCGAACAATACTTTAACAATACATGAACAATTAATGAGTGCAGGTGTAAGTGTGGAGAAGGTGTCGTTTGTATGTATTTTTGAAATATGAGATGAGATTCAACTTTATTGTCATTACACATATACAAGTATAGAGTAACGAAATGAGGTTTGGCATCTCACCAGAAGTGCAATAAGCAGAGTCTGTGCTATGTACAGTAATTACAAAATTTACAGATGTAGACTAAAAAAAAGTGAATTATTGGGTATATATGGCTGGATTACTGGGATGCTATAAATATAAATAAATGCTATAAATATAAGTATATTCTTCAGATTATATATAGATTATGGATGAGAGATGTGTGTGTATGACCAGGAGGAGTGGTGGGGGCATGATGGGTGTGAGGTGATGTGCAGGGGAAGGGGGGTCAGCGGGGGGCGGAGTTCGGGAGGGAGACAGCGTTCAGAGTTCGGGGGCAGAGTTCAGTAGAGAGACAGCTCTGGGGAAAAAGCTGTTCCTCATTCTGCTGGTTCTGGTCCGGAGGCTTCTGAAGCGCCTGCCGGAGGGTAAACAGTCTGTGGGCAGGGTGGGTGGAGTCTTTAAGGATGCCGTGAGCTCGCCGCAGACAGCGTTTTCTTTGGACGTCCTCAATGGCAGGAAGTGGGCACCTTGTGATGCGCTGGGCGGTGTTTACCACTCGCTGTAGCGCCTTACGGTCTGTGACAGAGCAGTTTCCGTACCAGACTGAGACACTGCTGGTCAGGATGCTCTCGATCACACAGCGGTAGAAGTTCATCAGTACAGCTGAAGACAGGTGGTGTCTCTTCAGTGTCCTCAGGAAAAAGAGGCGTTAATGAGCCTTCTTAACCAGACTGGAGGTGTTAGTGGACCAGGAGAGGACCTCTGTGATGTGGGTCCCCAGGAACTTGAAGCTGGAGACACGTTCAACAGCCATCCCGTTGATGTGACTGGGGTTGTGCGTGCTTCCTCTTTCTCTCCTGAAGTCCACAATGAGCTCCTTCGTCTTGCTGTTGTTGAGGAGCAGGTTGTTGTCAGCACACCAGGCGGCCAGATGCTGTACCTCCTCCCTGTAGGCTGTGTCATCGTTGTTGCTGATAAGGCCAATCACCGCCGTATCGTCCACAAACTTGATGATGGTGTCGGATCTATGTACAGGTCTGCAGTCATGGGCTCAGCACACAGCCCTGTGGTACGCCTGTGTTGAGTGTGATGGTGGTGGAGCAGGTGTGTCCTGACCTAACATACTGGGGTCTGTTGGTCAGAAAGTCCATTATCCAGTGACGGAGGGAGGTGTTGATGAGGTAAAGTTCTAATGTGATGGGGAATGTCATTCCAAATCTTGGTGTATGTATAAAAGAAGGACTTCCGACCATAGTTGTTTTTGTATGCAGGGACTGGGATGAGTGCCTGTGAGACTGACCTAGTGAGGCGCAAGTGTTGGTGAAGTGCTGCTTTTAATCTGAAAATAGTATGTAATGGCGTGGCTGTATATTTCATTTTGGAAAGTCAAGGCGTTGGAGCGTGAGTGCAGAGCAATGGTGTGACCACTTTGGGAGGTTACTGTGGATCTTAAGAGCTCGATAGTACAGTCGTGCTATTGGTTCAGTAATCTCCTTTGGAAGAATTGGAAGACAGGAGGAAATTGATGAAAACACAATTGCATGTAGGTACGTTTCAGAAACAGAGAAGGAAAGATATGATCTGATCTTATTATACTCTAAGTTTCTGACTCAGCTTCGTAGTTAGTTTAGAGGTGTGTTCACGGTATGTAAGATGCAAATCAAGTAGCACACCAAGATATTTGTAGGTCTTTGTGATGACAAGATCTTGGCTTGCGAAGGTGATGGGATCAGTGAATGGGCATTTTCTGGGGGAGTGAAAGTACATACGTTTTCTTTACATTGATGGTCATATGATTATTTTTCAACCAGTCATGTAAGAACAGAAGCTCAGACGATAATTTGGAATTTATGACATTAGGATTTGAGTCAGAGAGAAAAATCACAGTATCATCAGCATACAGTAAGCATTTTGAATATTTGCACACTTGAGGAAGCTCATTGATGTATAAAAGAAGAATGTTGCCTTGTGGAACACCCATATCACAGACTAAAGGTTGGGATGTTGTACGATCAATTTTGACAACTTGCGACCTGTTTCTCACATAAGAAGAAAGCATTTCAATCACAGATGGAGACAGTTTAAATGAGTGAAGTTTGTTAAGCAGGAACATTATTCAAAGCAACCAATTACAATTTTAATGTGCTTACCTGGACTTTAAGCAAAAGTTTTCACTAATTCATCCCACGATATAAACAATTTAATGTTCCTCATAGACAAAGGAACATGCTGAGCACAGACTCTCTGACATGTAGAAGAAAAGCACAATTTGATCGTCTACGGGGATCCTATTTTAGATCTTTAACTCACTAAGCAGGTGTTAAAATGTCTTTCTTCTTGCTGGAAACATGAATATTTCATGACAATTTGCAGCAAGTTAAATTTGAGAGTCCTGAAGGGTTTCGATATGGACAGGGGGCAAAATGTTGTACTTGGAAACAGCAGATGTGCTGTTTTTTTTTTTTTTTTTTTTTACAGGTCAAAAAAGCATGCCTCGTAAAGTGAAACTGATACATGATATGTCTAATAAATAACCCCAGACTGCCGTGTTTTCATGATCATACATTTGGTGTCTGTACTGTTAAACGCATCGTTTGTGTGACTTCTTCATATCTTACAAACATGCAAAGATCTGCAAAAACTCTGCTTATGTTTAATTAATTTTTGAAACAACTTGCCATTACTTTTTAAATGCTTCTTTCCTGTGTATGTACTTGACTGTTAAATGAGGATTGAAACAAAGACTCAAAGTGTGTGTACTGGCGGAGTGCGGAGGGAAAGCAGAGCTGCATACTGCTGTCTCACGGTGGCTTTGTCTCCTGCAGCAGTTAGGAGGAGCCGGCGGTCCCATGCAGCCCGGTCAGGTTGCCCCCAACCAGAACTTCCTCAACAGGCCTGCTGGCCCCATCCCTGTCTCCCATGGCAACGTCCAGCAGCAGGTAACTGATCTGACTCTGTGCTGGCATGCCTGCCTGTGTTTCCCTCTCACACTGCCTGGGCTTGACACTTTTATTGCTCCGGTGCCCGCTGATCTCTGCATGCCTCACTGGTAACCCCTTTTCCTCCACTGTCCTCCTTTTTTTTTCTTCCACACTTCCACCATTCCCCCCCACCCCCCACCTCCTCCTTCCTCTCTCATATCTGTCCTGTGTGCAGTCTGTGGTGGTGGGCATGCCCCCTGTTAGTCAGGTCTCTATGATGGAGGAGCAGCAGAGGCAGAACAACATGGTGAGACCAGCAGTAATCTCTTAACAATGCAAAGTGATCAGGGTGTCCACAGGTACCTCACTGACATGAGCTCGAGCTTATGTATGCATGAAAATCCTGACAATGATTGTTTGTTTGACTACACAACGGATTGAAAGTGAAACAGAATTCCCTTCAGCAGTCCCTGATCAGTAATGTTAATCAGGAAGTCCAATATTGTTATTGAAACAATGTTAAAGACAACTCATATTTTTTTGGAAACATCCTTTTTAATCACTCTGAAGTGATTTGTTTTAGCGTTTATTTATTTTGTATTATACACATAAACACTGATTGAGTGCCCAGCTCACTGCTCAGAATCAGGCGGGAGGACAGCTAACTTCCTATCAGCATGTGTTTGTTTCTCATGTAGCATGCCATTGAAACAAAGACCTAAATATATTTCATGATTAACCTGCATGTGTAAGTTTGTATGAGGTAAGGGGCTTCTTTCCTGATATACCTACACATGTTAGATGTCAGAGTCAGTAGAATCATTCTGACAGCTTGTACACTCTTCAATTTTAGATTAAAACAACACAGGAGGAAGTTTTACTGTGCAAAAAGGATCATGCAGCAGAAACAAAACATTTTTTTTAACAAGTTATAAATTGTAAAATTTTGTAAGACATCTTCAACTTTCCTTCAGATGACGATGAGAGCAGCCGGACCAGCCAATCAACAACAGCCTGGCGGCGGTGCTCCACCCAACCAGGTAGCACAAGGCGGACAAGCCCAGGCCCAGGGTCCCATACTCCGCCTCTCAAATCCAGGAGCCAATCCCCAGCTCCGCAGTCTTCTCCTCAGCCAACAGCAACCAGTAAGAGAATCCACCTGCAGCCGGCGCAGCACGTCCCACGGCGACGGTCACTTCTCTTCTTTTTCACTGAGGTTAATCATGATGTCTCTTCTGTCCCTGTGTGTCAACAGCAGGGCGGGGTGTCTCACATGCCAGGCATGATGTCTCACCAGGGACTCGGGCAGCAGTTGGTCCATCAGGCACCAGGAGGGGGGGCTCAAATGCAGGGCCAGTGGAGGCAGCCATTGGCAGGTCAGCAAGCACCCCCCACTGAGGTGGAGGAGTTCAGAAAACATTTGATTAGAGAAGAAATGACGTGAGAATATAGGTCTTGATAAATACTCAATGATGGCGAAGAAGTTATGTTGCTACAAAAGTAAAAGAACATGAGTTATTTTTTGTTCAACACATCTGTAAAGTCAGAATGACTGATGTTAATATAGACAGACAAGAATCAGAAATTCTAAATTCTTCTTCTCCACTAACTAAACTACGTTATTTTTTTTTCTTTCTGGTAAGTGTTGTTTTTTTTTTTGTCACATGCTGCCTTCATATCTCACAACGATCACCTTGCAGAAACTTGTTTTTTAGTGAAATATTCCTTCTCAGTGTTCCTTCTTTTTTGTGAGAATTGATTGTAAAAGTTCAGAGAACTTTTGGTGCTTGAATATATTGATGTACAGCTCCAACTTTAAAGAGGATTTTCTTTTTCAAAGACAGTCCAATTAGACAAAATCAAATTGCACTGATGACTTTCACTTAGTGTGAATGCAGGTGAGTTTTATTTGACCTGCTAGTCAGTGGTTACTGATCGTGTTTTGACGCATGATTCACACGGAATACCTCATGATTCATTTTTTCCACACATCCTCTAAGCATACCGATAGATAGCTTTTCTCCTGGGTAATGGCTTATGAGCAAGTGGGTACATTTATTTAAAAAAAAAAAAAAAAAAATCTAATTTCACTTTTCAAGATCCAACACTTATATTCACATTGCACAAATGTTGTTTTAAATCGATGGTTTATTGTTTACTTGTCACCTTTTCTTAGTGGGTAATCAGACTACAGCAGGAATACAATTTAGATCAGATTTAAGTTATTTGCACTTTCCTTTCAGGGCTTCTGCAGAGAAAATGTGTATTTTCACCCATCTAAGTAATCCTGTTAAGGGGGTGAAACTTTAAATGAACTTCTTTTTTAGAGACAGTGGACAGTGGATAGAGTCAGAGATCAGGGAGAGAGAGTGGAATGACATGCAGGGAAGGAGTCACAGGTTGGATTCGAAACTGGGATCCTCACCGTATCCTCTGCGCAAGGGAGGCACGCGCTAACCAGCAGGCTACGGGCCAGCCCCATCCTCGCCTATTTGAGCTCATTTTTAGGCTAGGTTTGATTTTCTGACAAACTCGTGTAGGAAAGAGTTCAGTTTCATATTTGATATGAAAATTCTGGGATGATTGAACACACCGCAGGGCATTTATTCAAGAACTTAAACATTTCAAACCACTGGGGCACCTTGATTTTATACTCAAATTCCAATTTACTTGTTGACCTCAGAAAGAAAATGGCTTCAGGGGAGAAAAGAGGCAAATGCAAAAATAAGATGTGATTTTGAAAACGAGTACGAGGTAAAAAAAAAAAGAAGTGATTCATAATCTGTATCCATTTAAAGCCAAATAAGTCTCTGAACTGAGCTCGTAGCTTTCTAAGAAAAGTGCACAAATGAGCAAAATGACAGTGCTTCTATTTATTTGTTCTTCTTTAAAGTCAGACTTTACATGAGTACAAAAGGAATGACTATTTCCCCTTCTTCTAAATGTCTTGTTCTCTCAACCTGTGTGCAGGTCAGATCCTGATGTCTGGAGGTCAGAGAGGTGCTGTTCCCCAGCCCGGGATGCCCCAAGTCTCCAGTGTTATGGAGGATGAAATCCTCATGGACCTACTCTGAGCGAGCGTACTGGACTCTGGAATAGATTTTTTTTATATATTTTTTTTAGTTGAATCTTGGCAGCATTTTTTGCCAGTTTGGACACATGCATCCGCTCGGTTGCTTTATTGCTACAAATGTTCAACATAATTAAGGAACAAATCATGAGTAGTTCCCTTTTTTTTCTTCTTCTTTTCACGGGACTGAGCAGCTGAAGTTAATTAGGGGCAGACAATGCGAGCATTAGTTTTTCATGTAAATGGTCAAACCGACAGCACGCTAATCCTCCACTCTGAAGAAAGCCAACCAGTGGAAAGAGACAATTATGAAAAACCTCCTGCAAACTCCACTTTTCTATACATTGTATCATTGACATTTGAAATACTGTTTTTTTTTCTTTTTAATTAAGATTTTACAATTTCTGTTTCATTTGTTGCTGTTTTTTAAATCAAGGTCAAGTTGTTTTATTTGGATAAAATAAAAGAAGGAGCATAGATTTTTTTTGTGTGAAGAGGTTTTTGCTCTTGATGATGTTGCGCTTGTGATGGCCAGCCAAAGTCTTCACAGACCCGCCTCCCGCTGTGTGCCTGCAGATTGGACCCGTAAGGTGAGAGAGAGCTTGAAATAGACACTGTAATAGATAGTTCAGTGTCTTTTTCTGCCAAATAGTGTCACAGTGTTAATTTTAACTACTCCAATATGTCGTGGAACCATAGAGAGCCGTCCTGTGCCAAGTAGTCCTACCAGATGGCATCAGTTGGCCATGCTTCCATTGGCATAACGTACAATCAGGCTGACCGCATGCGCACATGGATCACACTGCACATGTATGCCCACAGTGTGCTCCCTGAACGTGCAGGCACCATGCATTCAAGAAACATCCACCAACACACACTCTCCTGTCAGATAGCAGATTGACACGGGTGCTAAAGCTGCAGAGCCGAGCCGTGCAGGTGAACTCTGCTCAACCTCACACATACGTCCTAAACAAATATCAGTTTGTGCATTTTTTTTTTTTTTTTTTTACACTTGGACACTGTGTACACACACATGCACACTCGCTAACCAACAGGAAGTGATGTCAGTCCCTGTCACCTGGGAGACAGAGACGGTTGCTAAGATACCGTGACAGTGGGTTCTTGTTTCTGAGGTTTTTTTTTTTTTTTTTTTTTTTTTTTTTTTCCCTCAGCCCCGCTTTCACATGGACTCACACAGATAGACACTAGTCCCTCAGTGGCTGCTGTTCAATCCTCCCATCCCTTAATCACTGGCCGGCCCTCAGAGCCTGGCTTAGCTTCACTTTATCATTCTCTCTCTCTCTCCTCTCTCTCTCTCTCACTCCATCTATCTGTCTCTATCGCACTATCGAGCTATTAGCGCCTGTCTGAGCTCATAAGTTTTTCAGTATCTCTTCAATTAAATGTTCACAGGTCCATGTGATAAACTTTAGTGGTAAATAAAATTATGTCAAAGCTGACCTTCAATCATCATGTCCAATAGGCAAACATCAACCACAATGTTTTTTTATGAGTCATACCAAGAGAAAAACACGATTTTTTGTTAAGCCATATACAAGCTAATGCACCAATGTCATACCTTGCCTTGAAACGTCTGGTTCTACCAGATGTGTTTCTTCACACATGTTGTTACAAAGCTATCAAGGTTTTACACGAGCTCCACATAGTTCACACACAGTAACTCACACATTAAAGATCTAACTTGTAGCTCTATTAAAGTTCCCTGATCTGACCATATTTTAAAGGGCCTTGATGCATATATATGAATATTAAAGAAGAAAATTAAGATTTTCATAAAAGGAGCAGAAATCCTTTACAATTGAAAATTCAGCTCTGTATAACATTACAAGTCACGTCATACATTAAGTCCTCTGCTCTTTATTTCTAAAGTCTCAGCCTCTGACAGTTAGGCTTCATGCTCGCTGTTATTTGATCATAATTGGACACTTAAAGGGCAACGTGGAGACATAAATGGGTGACATCGATTTCTATTTTTTTCTACGTTTTTTTTTTTGGCCTTCTAGGAAAAAGAATGAATGACTGTCTTCCAGAGGAAAGCTCATGTGGAGCTGTTGCCACATAACTGTGGCTTTAATTTTTTTTCTTTATAATTATAGTTTCCTTACACTTCACAGTGGAAGAGGCCGGGGCAGAATATTGGGCCCTAGTGTGTCCTCCGTCTTCTCCTGGAGTTTCCAAACCTGGTTGGGAATTTCTGATTCCAAACCTGAGTTCTTCCTCCCATTCATTTTTCATTTTGACTGATTTCTCAAAACATTGCTCACCCATCCAAGAGCAAACTAGAAGACTTCCCAGCTTTCCCCTTATTGATGTACCAAGTGGAATTACTGTTGGTAGTGCTGTTGCAAATACAACCAGATCTCGTTCTGTATTCCTCAAAGCCTTGGAGCTGAAAAAGCAAAAAAAGAACAGAAGATTCCAAGCTTGAACAACACTGCAAAACCTGGTGCTGGATTTCTGGGGCTGTATTCTGCCTGATCTGAACCCAAGGGGTGATTTTGGTTCTCTGTTGGATCAGGACTGACAGACAGAACTAGTAAACCCAAATGTGTGGTTTGGGGTTCTCGTTCTTGGGTTTCTGGAGAAAGCAAACCAGAGTGGTTGATGTTCAAAGCCTCACTCGTGGAGGCAGGCGTCTAAATGTGCTTTGTGGACTTGGAGATCATGTCCCCTGGGTTGTCATGTGGGTGGTTGCCGTGGGAATATGGGGATACAGGGCTGTTGAAGGAGTCATCAAAGCCATCTGGCCTTGTGCACCCAGAGAGAGAAAGAGAGAGAGAGAGTCGTAGCGGCCCTATGGGTAGTTGGCTTTGCTTACATTACATATTCTCTCAGAAACATCAAACCTTTAAATATTAGAGGAAAAGCTTCATCTTAATGTTAATAGTGCTGCTTTTTCTGAACCGAGGAATTATAAGACTGCAATGAAGAAAGTTCACATTTTCATAATTCTGGGTTAAATGATGCAACAAAAAAAAATACTGTACATAAAAACTTTCCAGTTGAAGTCACTCAGCAATAAAGATATAATTTATGTATTCCACAATCCAACATTTGCGTTCAAGCATTCCATGAATGTTTGAAGACTCACAAAAATAAACGGCACTTCACTAAATCAAACTTCCCTCAAATTATCTGTAAAATGGGCAAAGTTAAAAATGATTTTATCCCTTAATAATCATCAGAAAAAAGTGGTATTTATTTAACATTTAGGTTTGAGTAGTGTGTGAATTTGACTTGTTCACAGTTCAAACTGTCATCGACCACAAAGAGCCGAGTCTTCATCTCTATTCTACAATTGGAATGTCTATGGCCAACCAATAAGTCATCTGTCAATCAATGTTTATTTGTACGGCGACCAAATCGCAATTAAAGTGATCTAATAGCAATTTAAATAGAGCAGGTCATTAGTTACCAGCAAGCACTCGGCAACAGTGGCAAGAAAAGTTTTAACAGGTAGAATCCTCGAACAGAACCCGACACATTGGTAACCAACCATCTGCTGTGACTGGACTTAGACATGAGGACAGAGAGACACACAATGAAAGCCACAGATACTGAGACACGCTTCAAAGGAAATCACAACAATTGTAATTCTAATACCATGAACATTTTTTAATTTTTCCAAACCTCAAACTCTGTAGCCCCCAACTGCTACGCAGCGCTCATTCTGCTGCTGCAACCAGCCAACAAGCTCCACATGCACCTGCTCCGCATGATGCAACATGTTCACTTGATTTTACGTCCCATTCTGTTCCAAAAATCTGTAGTGAATTCGTTGGGACTTTAAAGAAAGGTTTAGGACATAAAGATGGAAATCTCAATTTAAAATAAGCAGCCATGACAAAAAAAAAAACCTCCTGTGAAGCATTTAACAACTTACTATATGTAGTAGTAAAGGAACCCGCTTTTTCATGACCCATATAGATTTATATCATTTGCATTAAAAATATGATTAAACACATTAAGTGCACTTAACCTTACCCATTACACCCTTGAACACATCCTTACATATGACCAGAGTCTGAGCTCTGTGACTGCTCTTTACTGCTCCGCGGTCCAGTCTTAAATTAAACACTCCTGCTCCGTGTCGTCACCAAGACGGAGGAGGCAGTGGACCAGTTTAAGGAGCCAGTTAGGGGAGGCTCTTGGGTAGAGATGAAGATTATACAGCCTGATGACAGGAGTTTTGCTCTGCATTATGGGCCTGGGGCAAAAGTTTTTTTTTTTTTTTTTTAACGCCCTGCCAGAGGAGATGTTGATGGAGCAGGTGACGGAGGAGCGGGAAGGGGAGCCGTATTATTAGGCCTGGCCTTGCAGGAAGTAAGTGCTGGTATTGTGGTGGATGAGTTAAACCGTCACATGGAGAGATTACAAGGAGGACGCGGGTCGGAGGAGCATATAACACCTCAAATTGGATTTGTCTTCAGGGGCTGCTGGTCGGGGTCCACTTGGCCCGGCTGTGTCGAGATCAATGGCTCCATTGGACCTAATGGATGCCAGATAGGGCTGCTTCTGATAAGAGAGGAGTATTGGCTACAGTAGTGGAGATTCAAGCTTGGTTAACTTTGTGTTTTAAAAGAGCTTCTTCTTTCTCTGTGGGTGAAAACACATTGTTTTTTAGCGTGTACACAAGCAGAAGCGTTGGAGCGTTCAACCCTCGCTTGCTTGTCACGACAACCCGAATGTTCGATTTGATATCACACAGGTTAGAATCTCTGCAGCCGGTGGCGTGCTGTTTCGCCATCAGATACGGATCAGGGCTCAGTTAGGGCCTCAGAGGCTGTGGAGAGGAGTTCAGACTTGAGATAGCGTGTGAAGAAGGAGGGAGGGAGATACAGAAGCAGCAGGAGGAGAAAGGCAGGCAGCGTGTTCTCAACGCCGAGGCCGTATCTGCCCCACTTCCTCTAAAACCACGCCGTTTCCAGCACAGCACAGCGTGGCCGCGGCAGAGGTTTCACCCTGGGACCTGAACATAACCCGGGGCAAACAGAGGGGCCTGCATGTCTCTTAAACCAACATGCTGTAACAGCAAAACACACTGCACAACACAGCAACACCAACAGGCAGAAATACTTGATGGCCAGCTTTCTGTCTTTATATGAGGCGCATTAATCCTCACAGTGGCTCCCATCTTTATTCATTCATAGACCTGTGGTGTCCACTCAATCAGTCACTTAAAGGCTGGCCCGACGGAGCGAGCCCTGCACACCCACACAAACACATACACACACACACACACAGGGAGCACAGAGGAGAGGAGGAGAGGTTATACTCCAAATAGTATAACCGCCTAAGCAGACACTGCAGCACGGAGATACAAACAGAGCGGGTTGGGGAGGAAGAGGAGGAAATGTGAGGGGGCTCTTTTAAATAATGAGGCAAAGAGGGGGAGGAGGAAAAAAAAAAAAGAAG